CATGAAAATGTTCAGTTTGTCACACCTGGAGAGACCTGATCTGTGTGTTTGGCCATGTCTGCTCTGCCTTTCTCAGATCCAGCCCCTGGCAGCAGCATCTCTGGAAATCAAACAGAACTCCTCGTGCAGCTGCAGCCAGGCACCCCTCAGGAGTGAAGGGCTGGAATAAGTTGTGCTTTTTTCCCTTCTTTTCTTTGGGAGTTGTACTTGTTGGCATGGCTTTGTCTCACTGTGGAGCTGGGGGTGTGGGAAGGGAGGAGGAGGAGGAGGGGAGGCCAGCCCTGGCAGAGCCCCATTTCTCACAGTCACTGACCTGCAGGGCTGGGCACTGGCTTGAATTTCCCATGGGTGGTGTTGGCTGCTACCTCATGAAGCTGGACACAGCAGACTGTGCCAAAGAATCACATCAGGCTGATATCCAACACCAGCTGAAGGAGGGGAAGGATCATGTGTTTCCCAGGCAGCCAAGAGACCGTCCTTGCCCCAAAAGCACAAGGCATGGGGCTTGGTTTGCCCACTCCTGCACATCTTCAGTGTGCTGGTCCCCAGCTGAGCCTGTCCTGCTGGATGCCCCAGCCCTTGCAGAGGCTGGAACAGGGCAGTTTGAGTGGATATCCCATCAAAAATGCTGCTCTGAGAGCTTGCTGCCTTCCAAACACCTGGCTCCCATTATGCACCCTGAGGTAACTCCTACTGGTGCCATTTTAAGAGGGTATCTGAGCCAAGCTGGCCCCACAAAGCAACCAGCATGGAATTGGTTGGTAATAGCAGCTGATCCTGGTTTTCCCAGGCATTTTGAGGGCCTCCCCATCTCTTGGAGCAGTGCCTTTTGCATCTGGGGGGATCTGTCTGCTCAGCTGGGGACAGACTGACAGGTCCTGATGGGGTTGGTGCTTGCAAGGTGAGCAGCCCCTGCCTCTGGAGGAGCTTCAGGCTGTGGTATCAACACTGAAAGCGTTTCCCTTCTCACTGCTCCATCCCACATGGGCTGTGGGGGAAGCTGAGCTCTTGGAAAGCATCTTGGAGTGTGTGGGAGCAGGAGAGGGCTGCTCATGTTTTCATGGCAAAGCAATGGAGAACAGGTCTTCCCAATGAGGTTGCTCTGTCCAGGCTGTCAGCCTGGCATTGCTTTCCTTGTGTTTGGAGTCTGAGCACCCCAACATTTCCTATTTCTCCTATTCCTGCTGGTTCTCCTCTTCCTGTCTTGGCCAGAGGTGCTGGAATAGCTGATTAATATCTCTTTGCTTAACAATTACAGGTGCAGGGAGAAACAAGGAAGGTCTTTCCACCTGCCTTTCCCCACATTCAGAGGATTTGGGTCTGAGCAAGTGTAGAGCTCAGACCTCCATCCCCTCATGCTGGTGAGGAGGTGGCAATGCCTGCATTGCAGGCACAGGGAGGTGGGGACAAGCCTGGACCATGCACCTACAGAGCCCCTGCTCCTGGGCTGAGACATCAATGTGGATTTTCCCATTCTCTTTGTGTTACCCGTGCAGGGCAGGCCAAGCAAACACAGGAAGATTTAGAGCCTTTACCATGGACAAACCCAAGGAGCTGCTATCAGTCTGTGAGGATGATTCAGTGCCCTGCAGCTCCCAGCAGAGCCCTCTCCAGTGCTGCTCCAGAGAGGCTGAAGCTGGCTGGGTACAGCAGCTCCCTGATTAATCACATTTCCTTCCAATTACCGCTGTGAGTGGCCAAGATCTGGGAAGCATTCAGGAAACTAACTGCTCAGCCCCATGGCAGCTACGTGGGCAGGAAGGACCAGACCATGTTTGAGTTAAAACTGGGCCAAAAGAGGGTCAAAGCTGGTGGTGAGGGTCAAGGAGGGTTTGGTTACCAGGTCAGTGTAACCTGACCAATGAGCCCAGTGATAAAGATGCAGCTTGGTCTGATGTGCTGGTCTGGGAGGAACCCAGCACCGTTTTGGTGAGCTGGGAGGGAGGAATAACCCTGTGGTGGTTGGATAAAGCAGGAGGAATCACATCTGCTCACACTTGGTGCTGTGCTGGTGTCGTGGTTAAACCCAGCCTGTGGGGCAGGAGATGGATATTGCCTGTCAGGGCTGTGAGTGACAGGGAAAGCCTTGCAGCAACCGAGCTTTGAAACTCCATTTCCCCACCGTGTCAGTGATGAAAGAGCCTCCCGGGCCCCAGAGCAGAGCAGAAACCACCGAGTTTGTCATTTATAACCTCAAATGGCATCGCCTGCACCCTGCTCCACCACGGTGGCAGCTCCTCCCTTTGCTTCCTTCCCCTCTGCCCCAGCTCTGCATCTCCAAAGCCCAGCCAGGAGGGATTTAGAGACAGCCTGGTGTCCCTCCAGCCCTGAGTTTTCTCCTGGCAGTTCACAGAACGTTCCCACATTGATCACGGCTTTTCATCTCTTTGTTCTCACACAACAGGTCTTTCATCACCACACTGTGTTTCATTTATTCATTTTGCTGGGTGTATCAATGGCCAAGTTCCTCCTTTCTTGGTCCTGGCTCAAAATTAGATAAAATGACATGAAAAATGAAGCCTGTTTCAGGCTTTTCCTCCACAAGGAAAACTTTGATATTTTTGGGGTTTTTTTTTTCAAGGAACACCATAAGCAAGGCCACATTCTCTGAAAAGATGTTGCAAGATAGAATCACAGAATTGTTAAGGTTGGACAAGACCTCTAAGATGGAGTCTGACCATGAGCCCAGCACTGCCATGTTCACCCCTAAACCACTTCCCCAGGTGCCACATCCCCATGTGGTTTTGACAACTTCCAGGAATGGTGATTCAGCCACTTCCCTAGGCAGCCTGGTTTAATCTTTCCTAATATCCAATCTAAGCTTCCCCTAGTGCAGTTTGAGCCCATTTTGTCTTATCCTGTCCCTTGTTCCCTGGGAGTAGAGCCTGAACCCCACCTGGCTGCACCCTCCTGTCAGGGAGTTGTGGTCACTGAGAAGGTCCCCCCAAGCCTTTTTTTCTCCATGCTGAGCTCCCTCAGCTGCTCCTTATCAGACTTGTGCTCCATTATCCTTCTCTGGACCTGCTCAGACCCAACACCTTTCCTGTAGTGAAAACTGAGCACAGGATTTGATTCTGCTGCCTTGAAGGATATGTGCCACCATGAGTCCCCTGGCTTCTGCTCACCCCAATTCCCACCTCAAAACTCCCTGAAAGAGCATCCCAGGCACAAAGGAAGGAGCAGCTTTAGGGTTTCTTTTGGGACATGGCCCAGCAGAGCATTTCCATGGAGAGCAGAGCTGGTGTACACAGAGGGAGGGGGGACAAGGATTATCCCACTGTTATTTTTGAGCACTGGGCTAAGAGGATCTCTGTGATGATACAGGAAGCCCCGGGTTAGCATCACGTGCTGGGGACTTTCTTGGGGTGAAAGCCAAGGGAGCTCCCGTCTCCTGCTGCTCCCCACCCAGCCCTGGCACACAGTGAGAGCTGGAGGATTCCCTGTGGATCTGCCCCTCCCTGTGCCCCAGAGCCCCTGCCCTGCATGTGGGCACCATCCCTGTAATGCCTCATCCCACTGAACAAGCTGTCTCCAGAAAGGACCACCACAAGGCTGGAGCAGGCTGATAAAGGATAAATCAAGCAACAGGTTGGCAGATGGGCTCTGCTGGGGGGGAACTGGTGTCAGTGGGGCAGCCCCTGATCTGCTGCCCAGTTCCCAAAGAGCCTCTGCACCCCTGCCATGGGGTAGAGGTATGGTTTTCCTCCTGCTCTGGGGGTACAGAGCTTTGCTCAGCTCCATTTCCCCCAGCTCTGTCCTTTGCATGCCAGCAGGGTGGGGGAGTGAAAGGTGGGGGTGTGAAAGTCTTGAATTCTCCATTTTTCACAGGGTTTTGTACCAGGCACATTGTGCAGATCTGCTGGGTGCCTCCTGCCTCTTCAGCAAGCAAAGGTTATCAGGAGGCAGCCACAGCCTCAAAAGGGTCTTTGAGCAAGGGGCCACGTTTCAGGCAGGGTTTTGGAGATGCAAGCATGGATTTTCCCCACAGGATACCTGTAAGGAAAGGAGCTGATGGCTGGAGGAAGTCGGAGGATGGTCTCCTGTCCTTACCCAGCCCAGACAAACATCCCTCAGAGATTATCCTGCCTGGAGCAAGCAAGAAACACCATCACCGCTTCTTTCCACACAACTTTCTCTCTGGTATCTACCCCTAACAGGACCACGGAAAGTCTGGAAGTGGCAGCACAGAGCTCAGTGCCCTCAGGGGCTGTGCCAGCCCGAGGGACCCTACACAGACAGAAAAACATCCCCACCACAGCCCCAGGGAGCTGGGAGCAAAGCCTGTCCTCGGAGCGGGGCTGAGCACCCCCAGCAGCCGCTGTCCCCACCTGTGCAGCACCCGGTGCCTCATCCCGGGCAGGTGTTGTCCCTGCGTCACCTGCCAGCTCCCTGACAAAGGCCACACCTGATCCCGCAGCCGCGCGTGTGGCCAAGCGCCCTCTGACCCTGTGCTCAGCAATCCTCAGGTTTCCCCCCCGCACAGGTAACACCGGGAGGTTTCCTGCTACACCTGAGCTCTCCAAACAACTCCCGGCTGCTGCTGGAAAAGCTCCCTGGGGATTTCATGGAGGGAGAGAAGGATCCACCGCCCGTGCCATCCCATGGGGACCCTGTTGAGCCTGCGGGTCCAGGCTGGCAGAGCCGCCCCGAGGGGGTTTCACCGGGGTGCAGGGGGACCCTGGATCGCATCGCTCCCTCCATGGGGGTTTGGAGCCAGCGTTAGGGTCTGTTCCCTCGGGAAGGCAGGATCCTGATCCTGCCGCGGGAGAGCCGCGGTGAAGTTAGAGCCAGCGAAGGCTCCCAAGGATGGCGAGAATCCTTTAGGGATGTAAAAAAGCAGGTAGCCGAAAGCCCAGCCCGCACCTGCCCTGTGCTCTGAGGCACTCAGCAGCTTTCCAAGATCCTTGCGGGCTCCATCCCCGCCGAGCCGTGCCCGGGGAGGGCTCGGGGAGCTGTCCGGGAGCACCGGGGGTCGGGGACCGCCGCACCGATGGATTTACCTGGCGTAGCGCGTCTTCTGGAAATCCAGGAGCCGGGACACGAACATCGCGGCGGTGCCATGGGGGTCCCGGGCAGCGGCGGCTGCTCAGCCCCGGCCCGGGGGAACGGCACCAGCTCGGCGAGCTCCGACTGCCGACCGGGAGAAGGGGCGGCCGGCACAGCCCAGCCCGGCACGGCACAGCCCAGCCCGGCACGGCACAGCCCAGCCCGGCCCCGGCCCCCTCCCGCCCCCTCGGCCGCTCGGGAGAAGCGACACGGGCAAAACAAAGGCGACCTCCGGGAGGGGGGAGCCAGCCCCGCTGCCGCCCTCAGATGTGCAACGAGGAGGAGGAGGAGGAGGAGGAGGGAAAAAAGAAAGGGGGGTGTGGGGGGGAATCCCTTCCAACTCTTCCCGGCCACAGCAACCTGCGCGATCTCCCTCCGCCCCCCGGCAGCTTTAAGCACAGCTAAAAATATCCCCCACCCTCCCCGCTGCCACCCCCGGGGGATCAAATAGCAGCAGATTTGAATTGAAAATGTGATTAAAGCATCGGGGAGGGGGAGAGCGCCGAGTGCCGGCAGTCAGACGCTCCCCCCGGTACCCACCCGCTCTCCCCGGTTCTGGTCCCCCCGGCTGGGTCTCCCCCGAGGCATCTCTGCCCACCCCGGGGGCAGCGCCATCCCCAAGGAGCTGGTTTGTTTGGCTTTGTTTTTATTTATTAGGTTTTAACGATTTTTTTCCCCATTATTTTCCAGAGGCTGGGGTGGGTGGCTCTGCCACCATCACTGCGTGGTGCCCCTGGGAGGGGGCACAGCTCCAGCACCCCGCCACCCCTCCCTGCTGGGGAGAAGGGGGATAAAGCAGCACGACAGCAAGGCAAGGATTAAGGACCACAAAATCAGCCCATCTCCATGGTAAAGCCTTCACCCCTCCCTCCTCTACATCACTCAAGCAGGCTCCTACAGGAGGTGACATCCGAGGAACGTCTGAGGTTGGGCAGCTCAGAGCGGGGATACAAAAGGTGATGGGGGCTTGTCTGGGGGCAGATGGGGGTCATCCTTCACACAGGGACTGCAGGCAGCCTCAGGCCAGCAGCTGAGGGACAAGAAAGGAGAGGTCAGCAACATCTGGAGAGCCTTGGTCACCCCAACAGCACCTCTCCTTCTGGAGCTGTGGCAATGGGGCAGCTGAGGACATCCTGGAGAGAAGGACTGTGCTTGTATGGCCACTTCCATGGGAAATGGGGCACACACAGCTCTTCCAAAAGCCAAAGCAGACCAAAAGGAAGGAATCCCTTCATTCAAAGCATGGATTAATCCTGGCACCCTCAAGCCCTTCCAACAGCAGCTCAATCCCTCAGGGGGTGCTGCAGGTGCAGCTGCATTGTGGGGTGTCCCCCAAGCACACCAGAAGCACCCCAGGATCCAGCAGCAGGTTCAGCCTTCCTGCACGATTCCCACTGTGGATGGAAGACACCAGTGGGGACCAGGCAGGATCCAGGAGGTGCAGAGGCAGCAAGTAAACCCCATTTTCAGAAGGATATCTGGGACAGCCAAGGCCTGGCTGAGAGTGGCAGGTCCAAGCTGAGATGCAGAGTGAGATCATCTCTGAAAACCTCTCCCACGCTCTGCCACTTAGCCAGGAAGGGTTTTTTCAAATTCCTTCCCCAGATGATGAGCTCTGGCAGAGCCTATGTCATGGTTCTTGTGCCCTGCTGTACCTGTTCTCTGGGCCTGAAGAAAGACGAAGGAGAAAGGATGATAAATCACATTTACCAAAATAACCCCCATCCCCAAAGCCCCCAGCCCACAGCTGAGGGTGCTGGCAAGGGACACCTGAAGCAAACCATCCATCCCAAAATAGATCCATCTCAGAGGGCAAAAGGCAAATTGAATGAAAAATAAGTTACTATTTTTGAAGCCTGAATCCAGTTGTTATGGCAACCAAAGCCTGGAGCATCGTGCTGGGGAATGGCTCCAGCCCCAGCAATGCCTCCAAACCTGGCAGACAGGGGATCACAGGGGCTGCTCCAAGCTGGGGTGGGGAGGTGTCCATGCTCACAGCACCTGTACCCCACTGGGATGTGTCCCCTCCCTGCACAGCAGCTCCCCTCAACTCTGCCCACGAGCCCAGCTTGTTTTTCTTTCCTCTCCCATCCCCGGTGCACTCCCCACCTTGCAAAGATCTGAGTAATTGTAAGGAGAAATTCCAATATTCTGGGGTGCCCTGAATACAGTTGTTTTTTTTTTTTTTGTCACCAAAGCAGGGTGGAGTTTGCAGAGTTTTCCTTTAGATGAGGAATGGCTCATGAAGCCCAGGGATGTTTTCTTCCTTCGTTCTGATCTCTTCTCACTGGTGACCAGTGACAGGACTCAAGGGAACAGCTGGAGCTGTCTGGGGAAGTTTAGTTTGGATACTAGGAAAAAATTCTTCCCCCAGAGGGTGGTCAGGCACTGAATAGACTCCCCAGGGAATGGTCCCAGCCCCAGGGCTGCCAGAGCTCCAGGAGGGTTTGGACAACGCTCCCAGGCACAGGGTGGGATTGTTGGGGCGTCTGAGCAGGGCCAGGAGTTGGGCTCTGATCCTTGTGTGCGTTCCATCTCAGGATATTCTGTGATTCCTTGCAGGATTCCCACATCTGGAGACACCTCTGTGCACTGTCCCCTGAGGAAGGGTTGGGGGGATCCCAGCGGACAGTGTGAGCACCCACACCTGCAGGGATGGCAGCTCTGGGCCCTCCTGGCAGCACATGCTGGGATCCCATTTCCCCAGGGAGGGACCTTTTCCTGCACATGGAACTGCCAGAGCCAACAGGTACAAAAAGAGACAACTTGAGATTAAAATCTGCCATCAGCAGGGGAAGTCTCCCCAGGAGAAAAGAAGCTCTGGATGGGTAGGAAGAGCTACAGGACACGTGGATGTGTTGGCAGCAGGGGTAGCAGAGGCAGAGGTGACAGTGGGGGACAGGACTGGCTCTGGTGGACATGGCAGGGTGGGCACAGGGCAGCAGGGAGCTGGGGCACTTGGGTTTGAGCCATTTGGAGGGGTCTGTGCCAGCAGCTGGAGGTCCTTTAGCCTCACAGGCTGATGAGGGGGAGGCTCCATCACTCCACAGTGCTCCACTTGTGAACCCTCTGGAGCCAGATGGTCCCAGAGGCACAAACCCAGCACCTGGTGGTTCATATTTGTGAGATTTACCCGTTTCTGTACTAATCTCTTGATGTTGATCCCATTTCCAAAAATCGCTTTTTCAGTTCTGAGTGGAGTTTTTTTGTTGTTGCTTTTGGTGGGGTTTTTTGTTGGTTGGTTGGTTGGTTGGGTTTTTTTCGTTTGGGTTTTTTTTTTTTTTGTGTGTGTGTGTGTGCGTGTGAGTTTGGTTTTGGGGTTTTGTGTGTGTGTGTGTTTTTGTTTGTTTATTTGTTTTTATTATTTTGTTTCCGTTGGGTTTTTTCTTTGTTGGTTTGGGTTTTGTTTTCATTTTTCCCCCTGCAATTTGTGTTACCCACTAAACCAGCCTGGCTTTGGACACTGCCAGGGCTGGAGGGCATCTACAACCTGTTCCAGCACCAAACCATCACAGTAAAGAATTCCTCTGTGTATCTATTTTCCCTTTCAATGTGAACCCATTCCTCCTTTCCCTATTCCTACAAATCCTGACCAAGAGCCCCTTCAAGCACTGAGAGCCGCTCTGATATCTCCACGCAATTTTCTCTTCTCCATCCCGAACAGCCCCAACTTTTATTTTTTTTTCCTTTTTCCCCAAGTGCGGAGCCGCCGCCCGCTCATCCGCTGAGCCTCGGGGACATCTCGTGGCACGGAGCGGAACTGCACAGGCACGGGCGGGCGGGCACAGCGCGGGGAGTGACCGGGGCCGCCGGGACCGTGTGGCCACCACCGTGACGGCACCGCGGAGCCACCGTGACGGCACCGAGGTGGCCACGCTCAGCCCGGCGACAGCGGGGACGCGACGAGCCGGGGCTCCGCGTCTCCCATCCACCGCCGGCCGCGCCGGGCCCTGCTTAGCTTCGCAACACGACCCACTCCGCGCCGCCGCTCGCGCGCATGCGTGCTGGCCGTACGGCGGCCGGGAGGGCGCAGGCGCGGGGCCGCTCCGCCGCCCGCCGCGTAAACAAGGGCCCGGCGGGGATGCGGCGGGGTCGGGGCGGCCGCGGGGGCCGCGGCTGAGGGGCGCAGCCTTCCGGAGGTGTTTCCTCGTCCTCCCCCCGCCGGACGGGGGTGGCGAGGGCTGTCCCGCCATGAACTTGGCCGGGCAGAGCGGCGACGCCGGTAGCGGCCATCTGCTGTTCGCCAACTTCAACCAGGACAACACGTAAGGGAGGCTGAGGGGGGCGGGCTGAGGGGGCCTGGGCCGGGGAGCGGCAGCGGCCGGGGGCGCCCTGAGCGGGCCTGGGGGGACCCTGAGCGGGCCTGGCCGCGGGCAGAGCGCGCTGGGGTCTCCCCGGTGCCGCCCCTTTCCCTGGCGGGGAGCGCCGCTGGAACCGGCCCGTGCCGGGGCCTCGGGGCTGGAGCGAGGCCGGGATCCCCCGCAGGGAGGAGGGCTGGGAACAGCCCCCGGTGCCCTCCGGCTTCATGGGGAGCCGCGGGGACAGGGACAGGCCGCTCCTGCCGGGGCCACGCGGCTCGGGGGTGGTGGCGGCAGCCTGGTGGCCGCTCCCTCCCCGGGGAAGTTGAGCTCCTGCTTGGGAGCATCGCTCGCTGTTCCTGGGGAAGGGGATGGAAGGAGGGGTCCTGCTGCTCCTTGCTGATGTTCAGTCCTAGGAGGGCCCTGACGCGAGCCCCAAGTATTCCAGGACGTGCAAAGACTTCATCCAAAAGTTCCTCGCAGCTTTCTTTTCACACACTTATTTTATTGTCACCTGCTATGTTGAAGCAGTGAGACGTAGGCTTGAAGGTGATTTTATGAGCCCATGTTACTTTTGGTTTTGATTTAGAGAAGAGGCCTTTCTCTGATCCTTGAAACTGCACTTCCTTGGGCTTGGGATGGCTCAAGCTGCACGTCTCACAAATTACTTAATCATTGCAGCATATTTAGATCAATTAGTGCATATTAGTTTTTATATGGGGTATTATAAAGCAGTCTTTTTAATTTAGGAACCCCCTATTAGTTGGGATTGGAGCACTGAAGTTAATTTAAAGAAGGATTTGATTGTCTTAAATACCTGAGAAATGAAACTGGGGAGGGAGTAAGAATTGAAAGAGCTTGTACTCGAGAAAGGGGGTTTGTTTTAGGAAGTGAGTAAGAGGAAATGATCTCAGGTTGGCATCACAAAGTGTGGCCCACGTGTGTGGTGGAGGGTTTGTTTTTTTAACGACTTGTTCTTTTTGCAAGCAACAATATCTTGTCCTCACGAGGGAGATCTGTGCCTGTCGTCAGCAGGTCCTGCAGCATATGGGAGTTGTGAAGGTTATTTCTGCTGGCTGCCAAGCACAGTTACATCACAGGAGGAGAGTCTCTGCTTTTGTAGGCTTTGTTGGGGGTGAAGAGATGGGCAATTGGAGCTGGATAGGTTTGAGACAAGAGACTCTGGCAGTAAATAAGTTGTGGTAAATGATGGGGGGAGCAGTAGTGCTCTGTGTATTTGTGAGTAAATCATTATCCCTATATTGATTCGAGGCAGAGACTTTGCAACTGCTTTTTACATTTTTTCAGTGGGTGCCATATAGAGCTCGCTCTGTCCATATAAAACATGCCCAAGTTTTGCTCAGCTACCATTCATTTTTTACCTATTACTGGGAAAAAAAAAACCCAAGTCATAATAATTTGGGGATTTGTCACCTCTTTCTTCTGCAGTTTATAAGGATCATATATAACTTTTTGAAGTTCAGCTCTGTTCTCCGGTGTGGCACCTCTGCATTTTCAGTTGCACCTTAGCTTTGTGCAGACCTTTATGTACCTAAAGATCACTGAGTTGTGACCAAAAAAACCCAGTTAATTTGAACAAGAGTTGCAGGTTGGCTTGAGAACAAAACCAGGACAGAAATAGCAAGAAAGCAAATACAACATAAACTTATCTAAGTTAGTTTTGGCTTGTACACCTTGAAATCTTTCTTCAAGGAGCATAAAGGTGATCCCTTTATAACTTCGAGTTTATAGGGACAGAAAAGGGACACCTGGCCAATGATTTCATTCCTCAGTTGGTTGTGCTACTGCACTACTTTTCCCATTACATTTTTGTAAATAACAAAAAAATGTTCTTTGATAGCTGGTTTGGGGTTTCTTTTTGTGTTTGGTATTCTAATATCCATTGTGTCAATAAATTATATTTTTTAAACATATGATTTATATATAAATCACCTTGAGATTAGCTGATGAGAATTTTGGTGATATATCTTTTATGTGAGGCAGACCTGGCCCATAGATCTTTGCAATTCTAAGTTTTGGGTTACTAGATCTTTTGTGTCATTTTTGAATATTTATGAATTCAGGTATCTGATGTAGAAATGACAGAAATATCAAAAGGCTCCTGTTCATATTTTTGTCTCAAAACTCTAAAATTAATTTAAAAGGCCACTTAATTTGAGATAAAATGGGGTGGTTGATGAGGTGGGAAAATCTCTTCTTACTAACAGTGTCTTAAATAAAACTCCCCAAGACAAGCAGTAAGTATAAAACCAGTCTTGCAGATGCCTTTGTGAGCAACTTCTCAGTGAAACTTGTGTGATGTGGGAAGTGGCCCAAAAACCAAGTTGCATTCGAGTTCCTAAACTGAGTAGAATTTAGTGATTGTGTACATTTTTTAAACAGAAGTTTATTTAATTTTTTCTCCTGTTTCCCACCCATGATCTAGTTTCTTGTTTGAGTGGAGGAACAAGAAGGCAGCAGAGTTTATAGTATACTATAAATATATACTATATATATAGTATTAAAGTATATAGAATATATATACTACATATTCTATATACTGTTTCATATACTATAGTGTGTATATATATATATGTATATATATATATACACACTATATAGAATATATATTTTATATATCTAAGAGATCACAGTTCACCAGGTGAGAGGAGCTGACAAGAACTTATTAGGCAAGACACTTTCCCATGCTGGGCCTCAGAAAGCTCACCTGTTTTCAACTTTTACAGGTAACTGAAGCCCTTCTCCAGACAGGCAAGGTAAACAAATGTATATTCTTTCAGGCAGTATATGAAAGACAAGCTTTGTTTATGTCTGCCCAGTCAGTAGAGCTCACATCATGCTTTAAGGTGCTTCAGTAATTAGAAAAATTGCTGACAGACAAAACTGGAAAATAAATGACATGGGCTTATTGTTGTTACTACATTTAAAGCTTTTACCTTCACCCTAATAAGGTGTCAGTTCCACTCAGGCTTAACTGTCCTGCTTACCTGCACAGCAGAGCCAGTTCCTTGTCTTTGGAAAAGATGGGGCTTGTTGCTGCTGAAAAGAAATATCAAGCTACCTTTTCTTTGGTTTTATGATTTGCTAATTAGTTACTCTCTCCTGTAGGAAGATGAGCTTCATGGTGGCTCTCAGTCTTGGGAAATTGGATTGCTGGTAGTTAGAAGAATGTTGTCATCACACAAGTTGCTGTTCCCAGTTGTTGCAATCCCTGGTGACTGAAGCAGATATCCTCAATCCTGCTTTTTGTCACTCACTTTTCCCAGACTTGGCTAATATTCATTCATGGATGCTGTGTGTAGTGACATTGTCTCTTGGAATAGTATCTGCATTATTGCAAGTGTTGTCTTGCCTGTTTATGCCACATTGCCCCAAGCTTTATTTACATGAGAGTTTTGAATTACTGGCTGGGACTGGAACTCTGCCTGAAAACACTTCACCTATAATGCAGCAGAAGCAGTTGGTTTGTGGCTTCTCTTTGATATAATGTTTTCATTAAGTAAAAACCCAGAGAAGGGTATTTTCAGAAGATCTTAGTGTGCTTGTTTTGGACTGAGCCCTTTTCCCCAGTGAATCAATCATTGCACAACTTGGCATGAGTGGCATTCCCTGATTGAGAGGCAGAAGCTCCAGCTTGCAGATCAAAGTGGAGCAACCCATCGGAATTCGGGTGTCCCAGCAAAACCAGGCAGTGGAAGCTCGTGGGTGGCCTCAGTGCTAGGTAGGTTTTACAGCTGTAAATCTTGAACAGTGGATACTTGGGGAGAAAGACCCAAGTGCAGTTTGTATCACTTCTGGGAAAACTGCTGAAACTGAGCATAGATAGGTTTATGAAAAATTAAACACCTCACAAACCCATAGAAGCTTTAGGTCTCATAAGGGAAATGCTAATGGATTAGAAGTTTGTGACTTTTAAAGCAAAGCATAACTTCAGGATCCCAAAGCTTGTAGGTATTTATATAATAGGTAAAACTTTCAGTATTTAAACTCTTGCACAGGTATTCTTTGGAAGTACTCACAAATGGTGTTCAGATTCAGTTTGCACCCCACCCACAAAAAATGACCCCACCAAACAGCCTGCTTGTGCAATAGTGCAAGTGGGCAGAATAGAGAAGTTTTAGTCATCTTTTTTTAAAATAAGTAATTGTGGGACAGCGTTTGGAAACAAAGTAGTCACTGCAGTTTTGAAAACAGATTTCTGATGAAAGGGGAAGAGGAAACCTTTTGTTTGGACTTCTAAGGAAAACACTGGTGTGTGCCTTATTGGCAAGGATTTCTTCAGGCTCTGCATTCATTTATGTGTGGAGTTACCATTGAAATGTATCACTCCATATATTTCTTCTTTCCAATTTAATTCTGCCCTTTATTTCCCAAATAAATCAGTTTCATTCTACATTGTGAGCAAATGCTGCTGTCTCTGTATGCACCTGGCATGCTTTGTGTCCCAGAAGCTGTATCCTCATTCCCTTATCCTGTGATGTTTGGAACTCTGTCGTAAACTGCTTGTGGTGGGAGGAACAAGGGTTAGGTGCTGGGCATTCACTCCTCTGCCTTTGTTTCTCCTAGGTTCAGGTGTCCTTCACCCGTGATCCTTGAGGACAGGAGAGCTCTCTATTCCAAGGAGAATTTAAAGCTAAACACAGACCAAAAAAAGGAAGGACAGAGCGGCCCTGTAGCTCCCACACTCAGGGAGGATAGCTGAGACAGACAAGCTGAGACAGACAAGCGTATGTTGTGTTTCTTGCTGTTGTTGCACAGGGCACAGCAGCTGAGGGGGGCTCCTCAGAGGAACTGTGCTCAGTGTGTGACCATTTGGATGGGGATTTGGCCCAAGAATAGTGATATTGGATTATGGACTTGCTGTTGTCCCAGCCTGCATGTGAAGTGATGAGCAGGCGTGGTCTCCTTTTGCTGTAGCAGATTTAAGTTGGAGTTTTCTTTAAATACAAGAATAATGGGAAAATCTCTTGTGGGTTGTCAGAATGTTGCTGGCAAAAACATTGAATGTATGAAGTTCTGTATCTCTTTTCCAAAATAATGACCTTTGATATTAAGACATGCCCATGAGATGTGCTACAGCAGATATTTTGGAGGGGGAAATAAAGCAAGGTACATTTCCTTAGTAATTCCTTAGCAATGCTTATGCCTTCATTGATTTTTCTTTCATTATTATTATTATTTTCCCTCTCCTCATCATAAGCCAAAATGTTTTGTCTGTGGAAATTTACATTAGTTTTGAAATGAGATGGAACATTAGTATAATGAGACTGTATCATAATGAAAGTAGGCTTAATTAACCAGTTATTTAAAGCAGTAATGACTTTTAGAGTCATGTTTATGCTGCAGCTGCAATTGATTTAATCTTTGAGAGAGCTGCCCTTGTTAGGAACTTTCTGATTAATGTAGAATATTTCTGATTAATAGTTAAGGTCCTCTGTGATATGGAAAGGAAAAAACTGGTTTTCTTCCTTCTCTATGTATATTAAAGAAACAAAAGAAAACCTTAGGATTCTAACCCAGCTGAAAAAACTTGTTCCTTTTAAAGAGCCAGAGAGACTGAAGCAGCTGATTTCCCACTTTAGGCGAGTGCACTTAGAGCAAGTGTCAGCATCTTCCAATGAATGTGTGAAATCTCCCAGCACTGTTTGCTTGATGAGGATAGTTTTAATTATTTATGGTAGTCACTCTTGAAAATACTATCAAGATTTATGTAGCCTTGGATCAGTCTGCAGCATTATCTCTGCAAAAAGTGGATAAACACAGTTCCATAAATCATGGCTATATTGATAATTTTATACTGAGGAGACAACCTTCATGATGAAAGAGCTCAGAGTCCACAGTCTAAAGTGTGTAATAGAGGCTGCACATAATAGAGCTAAAACCCACATGTGTATAGCATAATGTTAGGAAAAAAAAGCCATTTTAGAGAATATTTATTTTATTTTCAATTTCAGTCTCTCATCAGCTTCTGAAAATCAGTGATTATAAAGCATAACACCTATGCTATAAAAGGAGCTTCTAATAAACCACAGCAGCTTCTTGTTGGCCACTGTCTATCTGAGCAGGAGCTGAATGGTTTATTGATAATATTTCCTGCCCATATGCTTGCACATTTTTGCAGAGGTGAGGTAATTTTGGCTAGGTCCTTGTTTTGTGGATTTGGCCATTTAGATGGCTGTGGGTGTCTTAAGGGCTTAAGTGTAATATCAGTGCAGGGGAAGATGGGAGATTTAAATCACTGTGATTATGCTGGTATAATTCAGCCTAGTGGGTTCTTATTACATATAAAAAGCCTTTTTCCAGTAGTTTCATAAGAAGTAATTTAAGATTACATTTAAAAAAAAAACCCAAACCAACAAAGCAAACCCTCCAAAAGCAAGACTGCTGTTCCAGAAGAAAAAGGGGTTATTTTGCAGTTACACTTGTACACTGAAATGGGTTTAATTATCTTGACTTGATCTGCTCTGTGTAAACAAATAATTTGTGACTTCCATCACCTCAATCCTGGAATAAATAACAAAAAGCAGTTGTCATGGATGGAAAGGTCCATTTTGTGTTTCTGCATTTTGGGTTCTACTCAGTCTAATGATTTTTATCATGTACACAATTCAGGTTTGCCATTGTCTACAGCTCATTTGAATGAGGTATAGTCGTAGGACAAGAAAAATTGGTTTCCTTGCTGCTTTCAGTGATGCTGTCAGTAAAACAGTGATTCAGCAGTATTCTGTATTTAAAGCTGTAAGTACAATTCAGGAATCAGTTCTGCCTAGAAATACAAATAGCTGCTGGTGGGGTTCTCTGTGAGGAAATCATCCTGTGTCTTTTGTGGATCGTTTATATTGCAAGGAGTCTTGTGACTCCACTTATTTTTAACTCTGTGGAGTGCTTGTTTACCTTTGCAAAGTGACAGTTCTGGTGTCATTCTTTGTGAAACTTTCTTCTGAGGAAAACAGTAGATGATATAAGAAAAGCTGACTCATTGCTTTGTTTTACCAAGTTAGACTTTCAGGGTTTTTTTTTTTTCATAATGTGAGTTTTTGTTGAGTTGTACAAAAGTAGTTGAGCAAAACCACTGAAGTGTCTTTGGTGATTAATCAGATGGAGACTGCTGAACATACTGATTTTGTCTGAAGGAAAATTAAATTCAGTATTTCTAGGGTGACTTAGAGGAGCAGCAACAAAATTTTGTTTTATGATTGCTTCTCTATCTTTAAGCCTAATATGCTTTTTTAATATCTTGGTTATTGAATCTGTGGAATTGAATCTCTTGCTTGCATGGTTCATGTTTTAATTTGAAGGTTTAAACCTTCTCAAACATAATTTCCTAACCAGATTGTGCCAGCTGTATTTTCTTCTAGAAGAGAAGGTCATACCATCCTACAGAAGTTGATTTTGTAGCTTAATTTCAGGGGGTGAACGATATGAGCAGTAATTTTTAATCTTCTGGGTATGCTGAAATTTAAAAAAGACTCACTTTGGAGCCACGAGTGAAAATACAGAAAGAACATGAAATCTAGGAATCTTCATTGTATTCCAAATGCTGTATTAATTGTTAGTGCATCTGAACTGTAGAGAATCATCTTGCTGAGTTCAGAAAGGCATTTTTGGCAGCCTGACTGGCACGGTTGGATTACAGCCCTGTGTTGAATGACTTGCCACAATTTAGGGTATCCAAGTGTATTTTATTGGAATTTTCCTCCATGTGTCTTGGCAGTAAAAAATATATGAACTATAAGCATAATAATGCACTTCTGTAAAACTGTATTGACTGTTAATTTTCTTTATCTGTGGCATAAAATCATCCTGCAGATGGGGAGGGGAAACAAGAATGAGCCATTGTCTGCTGCCTTGATGTGTAAAGACCTGCAAGACAGGCTAAAGGTTTTTCTAGCTTAAAATTTAAGACCTGCCTTTGACTCTGTCTGGAAAAGCAATTAAATGGTCTGTGAGCTAAGTGTGAAAATTGAGTAATGGAGGAAAGAAGGGGTTTTAGTCAGTTTTTTAATGTTCTGCTATTGTTCAATCTGTTTAACATCAGTCCCTAGCACTTTTTAGAGGGTGCCTCTGATCACAGATGCAGTATCTGTAAGACTGAGACCTGACAGTGGTGGTGCTAGAACATCATCATGTAAAGCCAGAGAAAATTAGAGTTGGCAGTCTTTAATTACTTTTTTTTTAATATGAAAACTCTTCTGGGATGCCTGGGGATGGTTACACTGTAAAGAACAAAAATCCCCAGACAGCCCAGTTTAAAAGGTCCTGGAGGTCACCTCTAATGATGAGGCAATGATGTAATTGGTTTGCATTACATTATTCAAGTCATCATCTTCCCTCCACACTAAAGCTTTTAGCCTGCGTGAAGAAATCACCGGTGAGAATTGGGCAGTAGGTTTACTTTAGGCTGTGAACTCTCATTTCATAAATGTGAAGCAGAATTCCACACCCAAATTCTGTAATTCTGAAGCTGTTTGGTCTAATCAGAATTGAGGAAGCTGGCTGTGTCTGTTATGGCTCTTTTGGACAAACTTTTTATCACTTTCCTTACTGAGCTAACCCAGCTGGAGGTTTAGCACTGGGTAAGAATCTGTCCCAGGGTAATCACAGCTGATGGAGTTGATGTTCCTGACTGGCTTGTTTCTTTTGCAGATCCCTTGCAGTTGGCAGTAAATCAGGCTACAAATTCTTCTCTCTTTCTTCTGTGGACAAATTAGAGCAGATCTATGAATGCAGTGAGTATCTTTTTCTTTTTTTTTTTTAATATTTTTAATCCCCTTAGTTGGCTTAATGTGGGAAGAATAAGAAATGTTTCACTTTTTCACAAGTTGTTTGAAATTGGCATAAAAAGAACCTTAAGTGTAAATATCACACAAACACAAAACAGTAATTGCAGGCAGGGTAAAAGTATGAATCAATGTTCTGTATTTGAATTTTATTTATTTTAAATTTATTTAAATTTTGCTGGTAAGGTACAAAATTTGGTAGTAGCTATGAGAACTCTGCTTTTCTAATAATGTCCAGGCAGGTTCCATAGCAGCTGGGTATAAAAATAATAATTTACTCATGTGAGAGAGTGTCTTTTGGGTCTTTATACTGGCTGTTGGGGCATGGAAGCACTGATATATCTTTATCAAGTAAGAAAACAAAGCCTTAATTACATTTTCTTTATCCTAATATTTTCTGTTAGAAAATTATTCTTTAACATGGTAGCTGCAGGCTTGCTCATCCAAAAGGGTGAATAACTCAGATTCCCATAACTTCTCAACAGTGATCACAGTTATTTAGGATCTGAGGTGAAATGGAGGGAGGCCTGGGGGAGAAGTGGTGTCCCCTGTTCTGTCAGCAGTTCACAGACTTCCCTTTTTTGAGATGCTAATCAGTCAGCTATGAGTGCTATGCATGAGTATCCTTGCTTTCCTGTAAACTCCATGTGAGCAGGTGGTACCAGTTGCTGTGATGTCAGCACTTACAGTGGGATCCCATGACAGAGCTGTGCTCACACTCCATGCCCAAAGTGACCTGACCCTGTGACATGTTGACTTTGGAAATGGGGTGTGATTCAGAGCACCCATTACCTGCAATGACAGCCTGCTTCTGTACACAGTCAATGGAGAGAAGTAATTGGGAGGTTCCAATTAGGCACCTGTGGTCAGATTAAATTGTGTTGTAGCTACATTTTCCTATTTGAGTCATGGTCTGGTTGTACTGGTTAGTAAATGGCTTGGATTCCATTTTCTACATGGAGTTTATGTACCTGACCTCTGCAGCATGTCAGGCACTTGCAGTGTCTGGCCTGGTGTCACCCCAGGAGACTCAGTGCAGATGAGTTACACGAGACACTGAAAAATGTCCTGGGAGGTCAGCTGCACTGGGCAGGACTGCATCTTCTGGGTAGGCCTTGAGAGAAAAAGTACAGATTGAATAAAAAGTGCCTTGTTCAACATCTTGCAAAAGCTGATAAAAGCTGTTGGAGTTGGAATTTGGACCTGCTGATTCCAGTCTTGTCTTCATACTGTTCTGGGATGCTTGTATTGACTTAAACTCCTGGGTATTTAAAGTTTTCTGAGTGTTAAGTGTGTGAAAGCTGAGCACAGAGTATGAGGTAACATTTAGTAGAATGGTTTGGGTTGGAAAGGACCTTAAAGATCATCCCAGCTCCCTTATCCCAGGTTGCTCCAAGCCCTCTCCAGCCTGGCCTTGGACACTTCCAGGGATCCAGGGGCAGCCACAGCTTCTCTGGGCACCCTGTGCCAGGGCTTCCCCACCCTCATAGGGAAGAATTTTTTCCATATACTGAACCTGAACTTCCCCTCTGTGAGTTTCAGCCCATTACTCTTTGTCCTCTCACTATAAAAAATCCAGTGGTTTGGCCTGTGGAAGCCAGACAGTCTTGGTTCAAAGCAGATAGAAATATTGACAAGCCTTCATTTTCTTTGTATGAGTCAAATAATTTTCAGTCTTGGACTTGTAAACCATGCCTGTTAAAACTTGATACGAGGGTGGAGGGCTTCCTGTGCATTGGGTACCTCCTTTCCTCAAGGAAAGGTGTCTTGAGGCCTCTCAAACCCAGTGCCTCCCACTTCCCAGTTTAGTTTGAGTGAGTCTAAAGACTTCTTGTGTTGAGTGAGCACTGTTAAGGACCCCTCCTTCTCTTCTGGAAGATTGATCTGCCAACTCTTGCGTAGGTGTTAAAACTAAACTGCAGAATATGCTTCAGCTGTCTTGTGTTTGAGAGAAATACAAAAAAAAAGATGGGAGATGTGGCTGCTCCCATCACTGACTTCTGCAGTGACTGCAAATCTCCTGACTCCCTGAGCAGTTGATCCCACTGTAAAAACAAGCATTAGATTGGAGGGTGCTTTAAGGCTTAATGAATGCTTCTAACATGCTCATGTTCTTGGATTAAAAATGGAATAAAGGCACAGCTGATCATAATCTAGCTGGCTCTAACCAGCTCTTGTCTGTGATGCTACATGCTTGTGTTTATGAAACTAATCTTGTTATGTGTTTGCTTGTTTTCCCCTCGCTGCTGATACTTAATTTGTTTTGCAGTTCTTTTTGTTCTTACTCTGTTTTGAATCTGAGTTTCTGGCAATGCTCAGTTGTGTGGTGTAAAGGAGATAATACTAATAGAAAAAAAAAACCTGAGTAACAGCATTGCTATAGGGTTTATTGCTGCTAAACATATGATTAATTCAGGTCAGCTGAACATAGGATGGGCAGTATAGCCTGGTACCCTCTTGAATAGTTGCTGTTGGGAAGCATAAATTACTTGGCAGCTGTGAGGAGATTTTATCTCTTCTTCCTGTTCAAGGAAGACAAAGGAGCAGAGGTGCATCCTGTATTTTTAAAGTGAATTTAATTAAATGCCCATCACAAAGCCTTTCTTTAAAGGTAACTGTCTGTATTATAGTCTTTGTATGGTAAGACTGAAGGATTATCAATACCTTTGAGGCATTTGGCTTATTGAAAATTTTTTCTTCTGTCTGGTGGCTTAATTGTGCCCTTCCCTGTGTACCTTCCCTGCTGCCCACCCTTCCCATCAGTGCAGCATAGGACAGCACTATTTCCATATGAATCCCTGCTGCTGTTCCTCTGCTGAAACACCAGTTTTCCTGCCTGCCTGGGAGGATGACAATTCCCAGGAGCTGTGTCTGCACACTTGTCCCTGCTGGGGAAAGGAGCTGTGCCCACCCTGGAGCTGGGAGCAGTCAGACTGTGGGTTTTGGGTCTCTGAGTGCTGATCTTCTGACTCTTGTAAAAGGATGTCACCATTTTGAAGGACTCCAGGCTTAGGATGGGTTATCAGCTTTCCATCTGTAAAATATTTGAGAGTCTTTTATGTAGCTACTCTGATTCAAGGAACATGGACCTCTGCATTTCAAAGTCTCTGCTTACATTTATTGAAGCAGATTTTTGTATTTCTTTTTCGTGTGTTTTGTGTAGTATCAGAAAAATGGAGAACAATTCCTTGAAAACAAAGTAATTACTAAAATGCATTATCCCTGTTGCATGAGAAAATTGAATTTTCAAAGCGTCTGTGAGCTGTTATGTCTTCTCTGGAAAAGTACCATATTAAATACAAGATGTAGATAAAAGTCAATTATGTAGCATGGAGTACTGAAAATGCAGAGTGTAAACCTGCTCCTTTTTCATAAGTAGGCTGTTTCTCTCAAAAAATGTAGGACATTAAATATTTTGTGTTCATTTTCTTGAAATAACTGCCCAGAAAAATCACTTGGAAAGCAGACATGTCCCACACTGATGGCAGTGTCATATACTGAGCATGTTGAACAGAACTTTTTTCATGGAGTTTCTGTCACTGCTGATGAGAACAGTGCAAATTAATTAAGTAATGTTTCTCTTGGCCAAAACAGAAGCCTTCAGAAACAAGCTCTTTTGGGTTGTTTTTTTGGGTTTTTTTTTTTTTTTTTACTGGCAGTTTTATGGTTTGGAATGTGTTAAGCATTGAGCTAATCCAGAAGCTGACTCCTGAAAAATTTGTTTTGATGGATCGAGGCCAAAGGCTCAAGTCACTTGTCTTGACTGGGTTCTGTAATGAAAGGGCAGGTGTAGCCAGTGGCTGTGAAAGAGCTGCAGAGCATTGTAAAACTCTCTCCAGCTTCTCACTGCCATGAAAACCGTGAGCACTGTGTTGCTGGGGTTTTGGAGAGGAGTTTGTGGGATGGAGGGGGAGGCACAGATGCCAGGATAACTGGTGCTGGGACTTGGCCTCCTGCCAGCATGGTCTAGTGCTGTGCTATGATCAAATGCTCTGAAATCATCTTTGCCAGAGATCCTGGGCTCTCCTCCCTCCTGCTGTCTCCTCACACAGGGATTTGTGTTCCTCCTTTGCTTTCAGTGCTCCCATAGTAGAAACATTTGGCAAATCTGATGTTTTATGGCTCTGCATCAATGCTGGGCATCAGTGATTCCTGCACAAATTGCTCTTAGGGCCTGTCAGGTAAAAGATGGTGTATGTGGAAATGCTAATTGGTGGCTGCAGCAGTCTTGTGGTAAATGAGTTTCACCAGCTTCTCTGAGTTCTGTAACCTTTCTTTCTCCATAGAGGGGTAAATGGAAATGCCAAGGGTTTGGGTCATCAGCAACCCTTTGAAGCATAATACAGCTTTAAAAACAAAACCCAAATACATCCACAAAAAAAGGCCAAAAATGTTTGTTTTTCTAAATTTCTGCAGTGATAAAAGAAAATTGTAAAATTCTGGAATTCAACAGTTTTCTGGGTTTTGTATCTTTGGGATTTTTTCTGTTGGATTCTGGGCATGGGGAGTAGACACTGTTAAGAAACATAAACTGTGTGACACCTTGGGAAGGGGGGAGGAAATCTTTGGAAATCATCACTCACTGTGTAGGTTTTCTGCTTTAACAGCCTATCCCACCTTGACTCTGAGCTGTCATGGCAGAATGTTTGTGGTGTTAAACTGTATTTTTGCATAGACTGAATCTATGATTCCATGATTTTCTTAGACAATATTTCCTGTTGATGTGCATCATTCTTCTCCCCTGAAATGTGCCTGTGTATTTTTCCCTCCTTCCTGTGATTGCTCAGCTGACACAGAAGATGTGTGCATTGTGGAGAGGCTCTTCTCCAGTAGCCTGGTGGCCATAGTCAGCCTTAAAGCTCCACGCAAGCTCAAAGTTTGTCACTTTAAGAAGGGGACAGAGATTTGCAACTACAGTTACTCCAACACCATCTTGGCTGTCAAACTCAATAGACAGGTAAGTAGTGATTTTACCAAAGTGGAAATGTGGGAAAGGGGTTTGTGGATCTTATTCTGGCCCTTCCTCTGCCGATTGATGTCTCTTCCTTTAGTGACAGAATTGCTATTTGAAATGTAGCAGTGCTTTTCCAAGTGTGCCTTCTGTATGGCATCTCAGTACTTCTATTTGGTCAAGTATTTTTGGTTCTGTGTTCATATATTTACTTGGGGAAATACCCTGAGTAAGCTGGGCATGCTTTGAGTAGGAGGTTGGACTAGAGACCTCCTGAGGTCCCTCCCAGTGTGAATCATCCTTTCATCCTAAATGTGAAAGTATGTGAGACTGACATTTTCTCTTCAGGTCAAAATTTAAAGGGATCTATTAAATTATTTTGGTTCTAAGTGCTGTTGCTGAATGTCTCTCAAAAAATCAAATCTAAAACATGGCACGCAACTGGTGAATTTTATAAGCACCTGGAAGCATAGTTTGCTGTATCACTAAATCATTAGTAGGCTCTTCAGCAAGTACAGACTTCTGTGTCTTTAACCAGTTCATTCAAACTAGAGAGAATGGCATCTGGAGGAGAAAACCTTAATGTCTGACTTTGCCCCCAAAAAATGAGCGTGGGAGGAGGGGTTTCCTGTTTAAAGTCATGAGAGAAAGAGTGGGTAATTTGATTTCTGGCACAGGGAGTTAGTGTAAAATGAGTAATGTCTAATTAGTCATCCACATGTAGTCTACAAAGTAAATGAGATGATTAAGAACTTGCTAAGAGTTAAAAAAGAAAGACCATTCACAAATGATTATGGCTAAGTTATAGGCTTTATAATGGTTAGAAAGTCTTGTCTGTTTTCTCTGTTTAGCAAAGCAGAAAGTAATTTCCATTTTTTCCACATGTAAATTGGTACAGAATAAGAATTAAGTGAAGGTTTCTGGCTTGCTGCCTTAAACTAGTTATGGGAATTCAGTTTGCCCTGGTGAGGTTGAGGGAAGTGGGGTGCAGTGCTCGTGTCAGGAGCTGGATCTTGTGTATCTTCTGTCAGATTCTTACTTCTCCCCATCAGGTGGGTACAACCTCTTCTCTATTGGAAGGTCCCTACTGCATTTTGGGATAGAATTTTTTTAGGATTGATAGCTCCATATGAACTCCATTTCCACATCACCATTTTGTCCTCTTTCCCTTTTCTAGAGGCTGATAGTATGTCTGGAAGAGTCTCTTTATATCCACAACATACGAGACATGAAGGTATTACATACAATCAGGGAGACACCTCCCAATCCTGCAGGTAAATGTGATGGTAGGATCAGCAGAACTCTGAAAAGTGCTTTCTGTGTCAGTGTATGAGGATCTCTACAGGGAACTGTGGTGCTGTTAATTCTGTTTTCAAATACAATAACAAATATGAGTGTTGTCTGAAAGCCTACATGTTGGATCCAGCTGAGAGCAAGTAGCAGGCTCTGCCCTAAACTGCATCTTCCCAGTTATTTGGTCTCCTGGAGTGGATGTGTTGAAATGTTAGAAAAGAACAGGAGAGATAAAAGCTGGATTTTGACAGCACTTGGTGTTGTTAAAGACTTTGTCAGGTTAATGCTTTAGGAATCATGGCAGACATGGGAAGTTCTACTGTTTAATCAGTTATTGTAACTCTGTTGGTATTATTCCTTTTCTGTATTATATTAAACAAATTTATGCTAAATAGTTGCATATATTGCAGATTGACTCTGAGATTACTTATCTTTGTTTCTATTTCTGTTGATAATTTGAGTTATTTTTGGGACATTCAAGCACAGAATCAGGAAGTTTTACTGCGTAAGTCTTGGAATTTTCCTGTTTCTAATCCTGTTTCTGCATCCCTTCTAGGGCTGTGTGCTTTATCAATAAACAATGATAATTGCTACCTGGCCTATCCAGGAAGTGCAACTATTGGAGAAGTACAAGTCTTTGACACCATCAATCTGGTAAGAATCCTTGAATGCTGTTTCTACCTCTAAAGATGCAGGTTTTGAAAATGACTTAACTTGCTCAGAGGGGAATTACTGGACACTTAGGTTTCTGTGGAACAGTTTGCAGCATCTCTTGCTTCACAGAATGTTAGCAAATAAAATGCAAGTTCTGATAGTAGATTTGATTGAGTAGAATTGGGCAAATGGATGGAACCAAGTAATTACTATTTGAATTGTCTTCTTGCTGCTTGTACTCTCTATGTATATGCTTTAGTGATAATTTTATGTACTTAGTTACTGAAAAAAATATTGAAGCTGTTGTCCAGAAATTAAGAACCATATTTGCCTTGAATCTGCTTAAATATGCAGTCAGAAGTAGCTTTTAACTTGTGCTGTTCTAAGGTTCTATTTTATTGATTCACTGCAGAGAGCTGCCAATATGATCCCAGCTCATGATAGTCCCTTGGCTGCTTTGGCATTTGATGCAAGTGGTACTAAACTTGCCACAGCCTCAGAAAAGGTAAGGGAGCTTTTGATTGCCTTGCTAACAGTGATAAAAATCAAATTTGTCATTGAGTATTTTAAGTGTGCACAGTTCCATGTGCAAGTGCCGGGAAAGAAGGCTTACATTTAAAATGGGAAATCTAAGTTAAGATCTGTTAATGATATTTGACACAATTTCCATGCTGTGAAATGTTGGATAATAAGGTTATTTAAATAAAACGTTTTAATCTGGCTGTAATTAGGGCAGTCCTCTGAGTGTTTCTCCCTTTAGTGCAGGATACTTCATAGAAATTAGTTGTCTTGTTTTGATTCTGTCTTCCTAATGAAAACAAGACAGTTAAAATCCAGATAGAGAGAAGTGCTTTGCTAGTCTTTGGCATGTGATGACAAATTGTTCATGTAATGTGTGTAAATTAGAGAGTCTGAAGCCTCTGCTCTTTGAGTAATAAGCTTAGACTATAAAGGTATAACTGATTGCACCTGATAAAGGCACAAAGACATCCAAGTGATTGCACTCGTGGTACTTGTCTAGTGTGCTGGTTTTCATGATCAAATATGATAAGAAGGGCTGGTTTTGATGCACAGCTTGTTCTCTGCATTAGTAGCTCCCACCTCTTGTTTCTGTACTCTTCAAACACATCCTACAAACAGGCTCCATAAATACTTCATGTAGTATCTGGGCTGCATCACAGCAATGAGTTAACAGCAAAGTGGTTTGCTGCTTCTAGTTGTGCTCACTAGAGCTAGTAACATGAATGAACTTGAAATGGAAAATGATCTATTTCTGTTTTTTTCTTTGCAGGGGACAGTAATAAGAGTGTTTTCCATTCCAGAGGGACAGAAACTCTTTGAATTCCGAAGGGGAGTGAAGAGGTAAAGTTCAGCTGGGTTAATTACCTGGTACTCATTCCTTATGGTTGATTTCCAGTATGTACAGCAATTGAGCTGGCATCTTGATTTTTTTTTGCCTGTTTTCATCTTCATTCATCCCTGCATGTATGCTTATAACACTTTCAGCTTGAATGTTTTCCAATTTCCTTCCTTTGGACTTGACTATTCTATAAATCAATCCTGTCAGAATTGTACTCCCTCTTGCCTTTTAAAATTTATTGGTGAGGGAACTTGTTTAAAGTAGGTCACCTTTTGTAAGATATATTGGATTCTTATGGAAATTGGAGGCAGTACATCTAATATTCTTACTCTCTTCTAAATCCTTCTAATGCTGTGGCCAGTGAAAGCCATTGTGCAATGGTGTTGTGGTTTGTGGCAGCAGTAACTCTGTGCTCCTGCTGTACTTTATAGAGGGTAACACTGAGTTCAGATTGTTACTAATTGATCCCATATCTGGTAAACATCAGAGCTGAGCATCTTTAGTCTTATGCTTGAATAGCTTCAAGAAATTATCAGAGAATTCAAAATGCTAATTATTGAAGGGTGTTTTTTGTTACTTGCAAAGTAGTGGTGACTTTAGAAATCCTCTTAACTAAGCCAAATAGTTTGACTTCCTTGTGTTTCTTCTCTTTTTTCTTTTTTGCCAGGTGTGTGAGCATCTGTTCATTGGCTTTCAGCATGGATGGCATGTTTCTGTCTGCATCCAGTAACACAGAGACAGTGCATATCTTCAAACTTGAGACTGTGAAAGAAAAGTAGGTTTCAAAGGTGTTTTAGATTTTTTCAAGGAAAAGGATTAAAAGTTCTGTACTCAACTGAATGGGTTCTCAAAAGTGTGGACAGACTTCTTTTGAACTTCTACTGTAAAGTAAAGGGCATAAGAAGTCACTTATGAATCAGCAACTGCAGCTGAGCTGTGTACTGTTCTCCCACTGAGTAGAAAAGGTGTTTTTCTGCCAAAGAGAACTTGGCCATCCTTCACAGAGGAGTGTGGAGCAGTTTTAACATTTTCAGTTACGTTTGTTTCACCTCTTCTGACATCCATATGGGAAGAGCTATATCATCAACGCCTTCCAGTGGCATATGGGGAGCTTTAAAAGACACCAAGTTATAAAATCTTCCTATTTATGATTTGAGAGGACAGTCTTAATTCCATTTCAGTGGAAGTTATTGGAAACAATGATTTGCTTAGTGATAAACAGATTAATAAAATCCTGAAGCATAGTGCTTTCCAGTAGATTCTGCTCTTGTATAATGAATGTTATAAAATGCAGTCTTATATGCAGAAGTATCAGTTTACAATGAAACATGCTTAAATAACAGGCTGAGGGTATTGGAGGACACATTTTGTCCTGTTGTATAAATGAAGTGTGTTAGAATTCTCAAGGGTATTAGTTATTTCTGAAGAAAAACAGCTGCTTAATATCTTTTAAAATAAAATGTTTTCAAGTGTTTACACACTTTTCTCTCTAAGGTAAAGGCAAAGTGGGTGACTTTTCTCTTCTGACTTGTAGACCTCAGGAAGAGCCTACAACCTGGACAGGTTACTTTGGAAAAGTGCTGATGGCCTCAACAAGCTACCTGCCCTCTCAAGTAACAGAGATGTTCAACCAGGGTAGAGCCTTTGCTACAGTCCGTCTGCCCTTCTGTGGGCACAAGAACATCTGTGCACTTGCCACGTGAGTACAGAGAGGGAGCCTGCACTGCCCACCCTGCTGGGCTGTTTGGGCTCTGGAGAGGCTGCCACTGGAAAACACAGCTTCATCTGCAGCAGAGCACTGCTCACCTGTGATCATTCCAGTGTAAGAGCAACGTGGCAGAGCCAACACCTCTCAGTCCTGTGAGAGAAGGAGGAAAGGGCATAGTATTTGGATATATGTGGATAGGAATAGCCCATTTCTAAGTGTTGTTTAAAGATGTCTTTTAATTTTGAAGCAAGAATATTGAGAACAGACCCGTGGGCTTCTATGGCATTTGTTTCCATTAGTGCTATGGGGAGTGATGGTGTATGTTGTTAGTGAATTGCAAAATTAGGCAATCCAGCCTAACCATTAAAGAAGTCTTTGAAAGCCAGTTCATATAATTCTTGTCTCTAAAACAGCGTAGCATTCATTAAAGTTAATTTTGAGGACTAAATCTAATCTTTTATGCTGTCTTTCTCAAAGGCAGGTCCCATTTGGCACAGCTACCAAAGTAATAAGCTGAGCAGTAGTAAACTTACTTTGTGGGGGTTTTATAGTTTTTATGCTAAATTGACTTAATGTCTGTACTCTCACTCCTCTGATCTCAAAGCACCCTTTAAGCAATAATTAAGCTTTGTAACATTTCTCAAATAAGTAAATCCTTCCCGTTAGAATATTTGTCTCTGGAGTTGCACAAAGCTTGATAACAGGATGGTAACTTCTGAATCTGTTTTACTGAGTTATATGTAATTGCTTGATTCCTGTGGCATCCTGTTAGCCCCAAAATGTGGTTATGCTATAAATCTTTTACACGCTCTTTCCTGGGTGCTCTTAACTGTTAACAGCATTCCTTGTCCAGGAGCTAGTGTGGAAAATAATGCCTTAAAGTCATAGAATCATTTAGGTTGGAAAAACCCTCTGAGACTGAGTCTAACCATTAAATCATGGGAAGGGAGGAGAGCATGCTTTCTTATGTTATATAATAATCTGCTATTTAATAACTTCTGCTCTAAACCTTTCTAGAATCCAGAAGATCCCTCGTCTGCTGGTGGGAGCTGCTGATGGGTATCTCTACATGTACAACCTAGACCCCCAGGAAGGAGGCGAGTGCACACTAATGAAGCAGCACAAGTAAGTCCACATTTGCTGAGAACTGTTGTGTTTTATTTCCTCTCAAAATTCAGTTTCTTCTCAAACTTAGTTCTGTTCTGGGAAAAGTCTAACTTAAAACAGCACATTTCTTCAAAGTGATCTTTTTCCAGACCTCTGACATGAATGAGTAATTTCAGAATCCCCCTGAGCCTTCCTTCCAGATATCCCCTACACCAAGCACCGCTTTACCAGCAGAAACTGAACCCTGTCCCAGTGCAGGGAGGGATCAATCGCTGCTCTCTCTGTGCTCCTGTTTCATCTTGGCACTTTGAGTTGAGTTACTTAAACAAGAATTTGAAACGTGTGACACCATCCTCTTCATCAATAAATGAAGTGGTTACAAACACGAGAAAGATCTTACTCTGACTTCACAGAGGAGATATTGGCCTGTGAAATTATCCCTGTTCTCTCTCTGCTGGTGTCCTTATTAAACTTCCCTGCATATAGGCCAGGCAGGTGTTCTGAAATAGTACTTGAGAAATAGGACAATGCAGTTTCTCAATAAGGGTTGGCAAGAAAAGCCAGGGTAATACAGTCAAATTACTTGATCAATCATGGAATTAAAGATAATAACTTGTGATGATAATTCAGGTTTGCAGCTTTGGCCAACCTACAATTATGCTCAAAAATCATACATTTATCTGAACATGAAAAGACATGACCTCTGCTTAGAGATGAAGTGAAGCCTCATAGAGCGAAGCCTTTACCAAGCTGTTAATCTTTGAAATGCTCTAAAGGGCTTTCTAGTATCTGTGTAAGAAGCAACTGCTTGTGTTGTGACAGAGCTGAAGATAACCTACAATATTGGTGATTGGGATGGGTTTTTTAATTGTGCAGTCTGGTTTTGGGTTTTCTTTTCTTGCTATGAGCTACTAGGATTTAGATCCTGATGCTGATGAGTCTTCAGAAAAATACCAAGGGTTGTCAGGTGCTTTCTAGCCAGGCCTCTGGAATAGAGGGACCAAGTTCCTCCTGTTGCATTTCCACATATATTATTCTTGCTCATCAGATGAAATATTTTGCTGTAGCTGCCAGCTCAAGCTGTCTTGTGCCCAGGCAGATCACCTCTCCAGCTAACCCCTCTCTCCCTGGCAGGCTCGATGGCAGCATGGAGCCCGCCAACGAAATTCTGGAGTCTGCATCGCACGACCGGCCGTTGGTAGCGCAGACGTACAGTGCCGCTGTGACTAAAGGTACATATGTGCCTTCCTCACCCAGCAGGCATGGTAAGGAGAAGGCTGGGAATGGGGCAGGGAGCACCTCTGCCTGTTGCTTCCTTCTAGATGGCTGCGTGAGCTGGTCCACGTCCGCACCGAGCTTTGCGTAACCGCGCGTGCGAGGTGGAGCCTCGGTGAGCAGTAGGAAAAGAGCACTCGTGGTGTGCAGTAGCTTTCTGTAGATGGGCCACTTGTCTTTGCTGCTTTCTGGGTAGAATTTTGGCTTGAGTTGTGGTTGATGGCTGTAGTGATAGTTTCAGTAGTTGCCACATGGTTCTTGAGGCAGTTCTGCACCCAGACCTTGTGCAAAGCATCTGAATTATAGCACTGCTCCCTTTTCTAAAAAAATTTTTATGAAAGGTTAATAAATGCTGCTGTTGTTCCTTTATGGGAACAGCGACCTTTTAGCCTGATTCACTGCTCTGATAAATCAAGAGGATGAGAACTTGGTTAATGCTGCAGCTCTCCAAGTCAGTGGAGCTTTTGCCACGTCTGGCACCCAGGTTAGTGCCTCGCTGCAAAGGGAGGGCGGTCAGCACATGCCAACCTCTGCACTGCACTGCATCAGTGGAGGCTGAAAACAGCAGCTGCCCAAAGCTCCAGTATGCATTGCACACACACAGGAGTTTAATTTTGATCATGAACTGCTCTTGGCTTGGAGAAACACAGTCGTGAAACAGAGTCATGATAAAAACAAACATAGGGTGGCAGTGAAACTATTTGAAGTAATGCCTGGTACTTCAGCTCCACGCATTCACTCTGGATCCAAGCCTTAGTTTGTTGCTGCTGATTCCCCAACTCCTTGTTCCTTTCTCTCCAGCCTATACGGATGACCTGGGTGCTGTGGGTGGAGCTTGCCTGGAAGATGAAACCAGCTCACTTAGATTGGATGAAGACAGTGAGCATCCCCCCATGATCCTTCGGACAGACTAAACTTGGACCTGTGAACTCACTCCTGAAGCAGAGAACACTGGCTTGATGTTTCTTGAGGAATCTCGTGTTATGCTGCTATGAACTTTGACATGAGTTGGGAGAGAGGATGACAGACTCTTACAGTTTTAAGTCGTAGCTGTAGTTCTAATTCTATACAATTGGAAAAATATATGGTTTTCAATTCAGTGGCTTTTAATCTTGCTTATCTATTTTAGCTGTGTTTATTTTTTTTTTGTTGCCAAAACCTGCTGTTTGTGCAGCCCTCAGAGCCTACTTAGCTTTGCATGCATTCATGTGCCAAGCAAGCATAGGAGGGGGAGAGAGAGAGAGAAGCCACTTTATAACAAACTCAAGTTTGTATTTTTTTTATATATGTATATAATATTTAGCCTATATAAGGAAGGAGTAGAGAAGTGGTTCTGGAAGCTGAGACTAGTTCTGCACTGACAAAGGTCCAAATGGTTTCCTGTGCATGGGCTTGCAGGCATACCTAGTGACTGACATGCAACCTCTCAAATGCAATGGCCTGTTTTTTTTGGGTTCTCCCTTCCCTTTCCTGGACCATTTTGTTAATTAAAATTCCTTCTGAATGTTGTGTATTTGTGGGACTGTTCTGTTTGTTGAGATGGAAAACTGGAAGTGTTTCCCTGCGTAAGGATATAGAATTTAGAAAGTGCCTTTACAGGGAAGGAAAGGAATTGCTGCAGGAAGAAGAGCTAGAATGAGGGAAGGATTGTTGGAGAATGTTGTCTGTACACCTTTGGTACTTGGGTGTCTGTAGCCTGTGGTGGCTGATAAGCTTGTGGGTTTTTGAGAAAAGACTTGGAAAGCACTTTCTTTCTTTCCTGTAGATTGTCCTGTTTTCTTGGCAGAGTAGCAATAACCTTTTTTTATACCTTTTTGAATTATCCAAAGCAAGGATTCTTTCAGGCTGGAGGGAAGTCCCTGTAGGGTTTGGCAGCCCCACTCCATAAACAGCCTTAAGGTTTCCTGCTAGAAGGCTCTCAATTCCTGCTTCTTCTCAGTCTGGGGCTGAGTATCCTGCTCTAATAGTGGAAGTTCTTGATTTTTTTTTCAGATTCTGATGTAAATATAAATGATTTTGAAAATTTAATTTACTTCTGGGTTCTCTACTGCTACATAACAATGCTTTTCTTTCTGATTTTTTTTCCCATTCCCCTTCTCATCAGAGTACCTCTTATAGATACACTCAAGGACTGGTAGTTTCTTTGGCAGTTTTGGAATAAATCCTTGACTGCCCTGACACTGACTAGGGCTTTTCAAGGCTGAGCAGTGCTGCAGACTATTTTTAGGGTTGTAATGTGCCTTCTCTTAAGTCTTGGATAACAGTTATTGAGAAAGTGATTAGTGAAGTACTTGGTGAGTGTTACTTCCCTTTGCCAAAACGAGCCTGCTTTGCCTTCTGTGTAGCAATGTGGGTTGTTTCCTTTCTCTCTACTGACTGCTTGCAGAGAAGTAAATACCAGGAGAGGCAAGGAAATTGCAGATCTTAAGAGGAGGACAGAGGCTGAGTGCTCCAGCTCTGTGTGAACTCCCTACCACTACTAGGCAGTGATGTTCTTTTAGCATTGGTACCATGAGCAAGTCTTCCCTGGAGCAGTAGCAGGCAGTGGGGCAAATGGGCTTCCCCTGCCTCTACAAGTACAAAGAAGGAGGCAACCCCTGCCAGGAGAGCTCTGTCAGGGAGGCTGCAGTGGGCCCATGTCAGTGGAAGGTGTTTGTACACAAGTGTGTGTGGGAGAGAAGGGATCAGGCTTGTTTATTCACTGCAAACCCTTGACTGTCTCCTAAGTAGTTGCTTGGAGTGGCTTGTGGTGTCCTCTCCAGAACCCAGCACATTCCCAGCAAACCCCTGAGTCATGCTGAAGCCTCACTTGGTCTCTTGACTTTAAGGTCTGGCTGACAACTCAATTCCACGGTCTGCAGTTATTTATTTATATTCTGCTTTACTGCTCTCAGCTTTGCTGTGATGTTCCAAGCTGCAGAGTGAAATACAAGTCTTGAAGTAAATATAAGCTCAGTGAGCTTTGCTGGCAAACTGAACCACCCAGGAGATGTCTTCTCATTCCAGACTAAAGCTGGTTAACATTCCTGATAACATCCTTGGAGGTTTGGCCTAGACTCCACAAGCACAGTTAGCAGTAAACATGCACCAGCAACACAGGTCTGCTAAGCACACAAGTCTTACAACTCCTGAGTGTGGCAAAGGCCATGTTACACCCCTAAATGTAATTACTAACTTTACTGTTAAAATGGAGATCATTTATTGTACTAATTTTATTCCCTTCTTAATTTCCTTACCTTATTTTCCACGGGTGAGTAGGAGATCCCATATTCACTGCATTTGTGTCTTCCATGTGCTGTAGTGTGTTCCTGCTCCTGAGCCACACACTGTGGAATTGCTGTGCCCTACTTGGTTCACTCTTAAATAGAAGCTGAAAGCCAGTTAAAAGTACCTTCTTGCTGTTGTAACTGAGAAAATCTTTTTGTAGAGCAAAAATATTAATGTTCTGAGGCTAGTGACCAGCTAGTAGGGTGAAGCAGCTTGTTTCTGGTCCCCACTGGCTGTGTATTTAAGAGTGGTGACAGTAGTTTAATTGCATGAGGATATAAACCTTTTCTCAGATAAAACATGACTGATGTAATTTCCCTGTGATGGCCTTAGGCCCTCAGTAACCACCCTGTTGTGGTGTGCTACCAAAGCTAGAAGCCTTTCAGGTTGAGGGTTTATCCCAGTGACACAAAGATGTATTTCTTTTTTTTTTTTTTTCTTTAAACATAACCAGAAATGCTGTTTGCAGCTGTATCCTCTCCTGAGTGTGGAGCATGTGATTGCACTGTTGTTCTCTGTGAGTCAGGTGGTGTCTAAACATTTCTGTTCTGATGCTCTGACAGACCCAGGGCAAGCCAAGGAGGCTCGAGCCCTGTGCTGTGGCCACAAGCTCCTGGTCACAGGATATGGGAACACCTGTGCAGTCCCTCAGTTCAGACTGACCTTCCTTGGAAGGACAGTGTTTGTTCTGTACAGCCTGTCTCTCTCTCTCCCCATATGGGCTGCACTTCTTGATAGCTTTTAACTCAGTGGAGGGTTGAGGCAGAGAACTGAAACAACCAAAGCTGGGGAGGGGGGAACACTGAAAAACTTGGAATCCTAAACTCAGGTCTTAGCTTGCAGTGGGATCAGTTCCCAGTGAGTACCGTGGGGAAGGAGCTGTTTCTCTTGATGTGCAAATGGGCAGCGAGTGCAGGTCCTCGCTGCTGTCTCGACATCTGTCTGTTTACTCTGTATTCAAGTTCTGAGGCAGAAAGCTTTTATCTGCCCTGGTCTCTTCTTATGTCACTGTTTCCAAAATACAAGCGATAGATACCAATCTAGCAGTTAAAAGACAGGGCCTGGCAGAGGAGGAGGAGGAAGTAGAAAGCATCAAGGGGTTGGTAAAAGCTGTTTGTTCTGGTGCCCTGTTGAACGAGACATTGGCACGAGTGAGTGCTCCCTCTGGGATCAGGTGTGTGCTTGTACCTTGCTGCTCTGGGTCCTGCACGGCCAGTTTCTTGGCTGTGTTCTGCACAGGGTGGGGGTAGAGGTGGTGGCTTTTCAAGTCTGCTTGAATGCAAATAAATACCTGAGAAGACCTTTAATGCAGTGACAGGTGTCTGCACGGAGGGAACTTGGTCTGACCCGTGTGGAACAGTGAAGAGGGAGGAGCGAGCAGAGGAGCCCCGGGCTGGGTGAGCGCGGAGCCCAAGCACAGCACTCTCTGTTACATCCCATGCTGTGCTTTCTTGGCTCCAATAATGGCATTAGCACCAACCAGCATGCAGTAGGACAGTAGAATTTCTTTCCCTGTGGGTTGCTGAGCTGTTCAGTATCCCACTGGTGTGTGCAGATGCTCCACTGCTGTTTGCAGAGCGACAGGAGTCTTTGTCCAAAGCATTGGTGGGGATTCATCACTGCAGAGCTTTGGGAAGTTTTATTCTGTGCTCCAGCTGTCCTGGCTAACAGTCAACTTTATTTAACCTGTTAATATCTGAGAGCAAGGCCTGAGTGTCTTCTCCACATGTGGAGAGCAGGCCTTTCTTTTCCTGGAATCTGCTGGCCTGTGAAAGGCTTGCAATGAAGAAAGCATGGCTCTGACTGTAAATAAATCCTTTCAGATTCCAGTTGTACAACCAAAGGAATTCAGCAAATTCCTATTTTTCTAATCATGACATGCCTTCATTTTAATGCTCTTCTGACTGGCAAATCTCATCTTACACTGCTTTGAAAATAACGGGCAAGAAGTTGTAATTCTGGCTTGCAAACAGCTGCCGTTGTGCTCCTTACAGGTGTCAGTGCTGTGGCTTTGGCCATGTGGCTGCAGGGACCCTGCATGTGTCCAGCTCAGGAGTGGGGAGTTCTCCCCAAACCTGTAGCTCTGGGTTTCTGTGGGGTGTTGACTCAGCCCTAGGTCTACCTGGATCTATTTGCTCTTGCATTTGCTTCCTTACCTGGAGAAAACCCTGCATCCTGCAGTGCTCACTGACTGTTTGGTATCTGTGTCGATAAGTGGAAAAATCTGTCTAACATTCCACCTCACCAAGTGTCTGGCTCTCACTGCTAGCCCGTCGCTCTTTGTAATTTTATAACTGCCTAAGAAATTAAATCTGTGTTGTGATAAGTATTCTGTGTCTTCTTCCTTTTGTTTGCTACTTGGAGATGGGGCCGGATAAGATCAGGGTAAGGCTACGTGGCCCAAACAAAACAGCAGCAGTTCTGAGCCCTCAGTCTCAGCAGTGCTTTGTAGCTGCTCTGCACAGACACTGTCAGCTTGGGCTTTGCAGGGACTGGGAAAGGACAAGCTGAGTTTTTCCTGGCACATTTTGCTTGCAAATGTAATTTTCCCTCTTGTTCCTCTTTAAAGCAGCTCTTCCCAGGACTTGCATTTGTGTATTTTTCTCATGCTGCTCAGGTGAGTTTGATAAGTGCCTTTATTCTTTTTTTTTCCACGGGATGCATCTCAAGCAGTGCTTTCATACCCAGCCCACTCTCTGTGCTGTCGCTCCAGGCTTGTTGCTTCTCTCATTCAAGCCCTGGAGGAAGATGTGGAGCGAGCTCTTGCAGATGGGAGAGGAGGCAGCTCCTGCTTCTGAATCCTTCCTCCTGCAAAGCAGCGACGAGAGCTTTGATCGGGGTGGACAAGAGGAGCAAAAGCCTTTCTGCTGTTGCTGGCAGTGTTGGAGCACGCGGGATGAGATGAGGGTGAGGCTCTCCCTGTTCTCCTGTGGCCGTTTCATGGTGGAGCCTCGGCTGAGGAGCTGCAGGCGCCGCCTCCCTGATCCAGCTCTGGAGGGCAATGCTGCCCTGTCGCTGCTGCTTTGCGCCTCCCTTTGCTCCAGGCAAAATCGGCTCTGCTGGCTCTGATGAGTGTCTCTGAAGTGTTCACTCCGCTGCTGGTGATGTTTCCCTGTCTCCTGCCTGGAGCAAACTGAAGATCTGAGGTGGATTCAGGCAGTGGCGGTGACTTCCATCTGCTGTGGTGATGCCAACACCTCCTCTGTCCCCTGTGTCCCAGGTGGATAAAATCATCCAGCCCCACTGATGCTTTGGGAGGTCCAGCAGCTCCTCTGCTCCTGCCCTAGGGGAGCAAAGCAGAAAATTCTCCAGTAAGCACGGGGGAAATTGTAAGCAGTGGGTCACACCCAGCTCTGAAATAGGCAGCTGTGGTTGCCTTCAGGACAGCAGTTTCACTTCTGTCTGCTGGTACTGAGTTTGGCCCACTGAGCATGAGTTTCCAGGGCAGGGACAGAGCAAGCCCATGTCCAGTTATTTATCTTATTACAACGGTAAACACGGACTCATCCTCTGCTCCTCCTTGTTTTCTCTTGGTGCTGAGTAGGCTTTTGGCTTTAGCTGTGATGATCTGCCCAGAGGTCAGGCCTTGACACCCTTCACTATGCAGGGCTTGAGTCCAAGATGAAACAACTGAGCAGAAACACAGTCCTGGTGTGAACAGCCCCACTTGGGCTGTGGCTGAGCTGAACACGCTGCTGGGAGCAGAGGAAGGAGTGAGACCCCAGCAGAGCAGCTCACACTGTCCCCGGCCTGGCTGCTGTGCAGGGTGGATGCAGCATCACTCATTTTTAGAGCCAGTGGGCAGAAAGGAAGAACTGGAGCCAGAGATGAGCACCAGCACCGCTCTGATCCTGCCCAGGCTTGGGAGCAGCTTGTCCCCCTCTGCAGCACCCACATTCAGCTGGTCTGTGAGCATTCACCTCTCCCATGCCACATCCAACCCACACCAGTCTCAGACAGGCCCTTGGCAGAGGCTTTTTTGGCTAATTAATGAGCTATGAGCTAATTGAGGGCATTGTGCCCAGCTTGCTGGAGCTGAGGACATCTGATGCTGGCTCCTCCAGCACTGGGTTATGTTTTGGGTTGGGGGTTTTAGCAGAGAGTTATACTAACTTACAGGTTTTAATAAAGGATTTGGAGATTGCTGTATCTGGGTAAGTCCATAAAGTAAGCTAGAGGGTTTGGCAGTATTTTGATTTTCTGGATACTGTTTTGCAGGGGCAAAGGAGAGACTTGTTTCTCCACAAGTGTAGTCTGGGGCTGGGGAGCACTGAGTGCTGCAGGGGCACGGATGCACTTTGTCCATGTGATCAGATCCCCCTTGGCCACACGGTGGGTACAGAGTCACTTTTGGGTGCCAGCTTGGTGTGTGTAACTCCTCAGCATCTCCCTTGTCACTGCTGTCCTCTCCTCCCTGCTTGAGGGAGGCTGGTGACACCATCAGCCACTGCTCCTCAGCAGCTCAAGATCGGGGCTGATAATTTATTTTATCTGAGATAATGTATTTTATCTGAGGAGGGCAGGCAGAGGGATGGGCCAGGAGCCTGGGCCTGTGGCTGGTGAAGGGAAGGTTTCTGGGGGCCAGCACTGGGGGCTCTGCTCTGCTCTTGTGCAGCTGCTGGGTGCAGCTACAGGGACCTGGGGCCACAGAAGGTCCCTGTCCCTTCCTTGGGACCATCCCAGCCTTCCATCCCCAGAGCATCCATGTTCTTTCTGCCCTTCTCTGGTACCATCCCAATCTTCTTTTCCTGGAACATCCATGTTCTTTCCTTCCTCTCCTGGGAGTATCTCTGCTCCTCCCCTGGGAGCTCCCAGCCTGCACATTCCCTAGCAGCATCCCAGTCTTTTTCCTCCCATAACCCCCCTACTCTTTTGCTGGCAGCATCCCAGCCTTTTCCCCTTGGTGCATCCATGCTCCTTCCCTTGTTTACTCCCAAATCATCCCTCCTCCACTTCTTCAGCAGCTCTGCAGCACCTTCTGTGCATGCTGAGGGCACCACTTGTGCTCCTTGGCCCAGAGCAAAATGTGAGATGGGAAAAATACTGATCTGTGTTTGCCTTCACCTGAGCCAAAACTGCTGGGGGAGGCAGAGGGTGCTTGGCTGCTCTGTGTGCCACGGGCTCCTGCCTGGAGCTTGATCCATGCTGGGATGAGGGGACTGTGCTGGGGCCAGAGCAGAGTGGCTCTGCCTTTGTGCCGCTGCTCTGCTGTGTTTTCCTGAGCAAATAATGCTGCAGCTTTTGGAATTGGGCCCAAAAATTGAGTTCTGGCAGGGGAGGGCAAAGCTCTGGGCTTCACCTGGCCCCACAACCTCTGCTGCTGGCTGAAGCCTGGAGCAGGGCTGGTGTGAAGGGAAATGCAGACCCTCTGTGTCCCCTCTCTCTGCACCGTGGGGCACAGGGCTCTCTGCTCCCCTGCTCTCTGTGGGCACCAAGCACAGAGAAATCGTGCAGAGCATCTCTCCTCTCCTCACCCGAAAACAATTTTGGAAATGAAAGCCGGGAGACAGAGCCAGGGACGTTATCTCACCCCCTTTTACCGTTTCAGATAGGAAACAGCCTTTCATCTCTCCCAGGGTGAAAGGCAATTTGCATTTCAAGAGGTCAGGACGAAGCTTTTTCTCTTTACCATCCGAAATTCGTTATTCAAAGTCTATTTGGAAACAAAACAACACATGCACGGGAAGATGGCCTCTGCAGGCTCAAATTAACTGCTCCTGTCATCCCTGATTTCCCTGGCTGCTGCTGGAGGATGCGGGATCGAGGGGGAGGCACAGGCACTGCTGGAGACGTGAGTGGAGCAAACCTGCGAGCTCCTCGGTGTGGCTGGAGCTGCTCCAGGGCTCGGGGATCTCCCCTGGGAACTGGGGGAGGTTTTTCACCCCCCTGCCCTGCACAAGCTTGGCTTAGCCAGGTCAGGTCCCTAAGGAGAGCTCCAGACCCAGCTCCCTGCAAGCCCTGCTCCCTTCCAGCTCCCACACTCAGCCTGGCTCCAACAACCCAATCCTGCCTCATAAAAACCCTCTGGCAGCTTCACTGGGGCTTGCTGGGCACTGGAGCTTTGTTTTCTCAGCTGCTGCCTCTGCCCTCACTGCTGCCACTTATTGATATCAGAGTTTGCATTAGCAGGTGCAGCTCTGGGATATTCAATTACCTATAAAAAGCTGTAGCAACGCAAGACATGGCTGGAGGCATCAAGGCTGTTGGTTTCAGGGTTTTTTTCCTTGGTTTCAGGGGTTTTTTTCCTTGGTTTCGAGTGCTTTGTTTTGGTTTTTTACCTTGCATTTAAAGGAGATGTGAGGACGGGTAAAGTGTCATAAAAACATCAGTAAAAAGTGGAGTAAAGAGAAGGAGAAATAAATAAATAATCCTGTTTATTAAATGAAACAGCTGGGTTGGGAAAAAAAATGATCTCCGGGAAGAAAGCAGCTCCCTGGGCTATTTTTAGCTCTTTTGTTTCTCCCCCCCCTTTCCTCCCCCACCCTCCTTGCACAGTCTGAGGGTTTGGTGCATGTCAATCCCGCTGTTCTCCCTCACCTCCTGAGTGCCAGGTGATGTGCTCTTTTCTTATTTTCTTTTTCTTTTTCTCCCCCCTCCTTTTTGTGCATCTTATTTATAGCAGGGAGCTGGGGGAAGGGCAGCAGCATCAGGAGAGGCTGTGCAGGCATCGCCCTCGGTCCTGGCCGGGGAAAGGAGGGGGCAGCAGGGGCTGAGCCTCTCCTGCAGCATCTGGGGCTGCACATGGTTCTCCCTCTGCTCCCCAGCAGCTCCAGGAGCTGCTGCAGCCCCCCTGGAATTTCCTTTGCCTGGATCTGGGGGGCTGCAGCAGCTCCAGGCCAGGGGCCACGTTTGGTGTCTCCTCTCAGCTCTTGCACCAGTGGGGCTGGAGGAGCCCTGGATTTCCATTTTCCTGGATTTCCATCAAGTCTTTCTCTCTCTTTAGGCACCACCATTCCTAAACCCATCCCAGCAAAGCTCTCCACCACCCCCAGGCACTCAGCCCTGCAACCTTCCCCTTTCCCAGCCCTCCCTCCCAGCTCCCACATCTCCCACCACATCTCCTGGATGCTGCTGCTGCTGCCCCAAGGCCCCTCTCCCCTCATCTCCTCTGCCACCGAGCATCCTCGTGGGCTCCCATCTTTGTGCCTTTATGGAAGAAATACATAATTCTTTTATTATTCAATTAGGAGTTTAACACACAATCAGGTGATCGCTTTAAGAGGATTTCCTATAAGGCAGGATTTGAATAACGGCGCTATGAGTAATATATTCCCTTAACTGGTTTATTCCTTTATCAGATTTTTTTTTCCCCCTAAGCACTTTAATGCATTTACTTTCCCATTGTCGACACTTTTCTCCGAGCTCTTCCTCCCTCCCCGAGCTTATGCAAATCCCCCCGTAAGGCGTTTAATGCTCCGTGTGTGTCAATAGTGCCCAAATCTTGGCGGCAGCATTAGGCTTCATGCATGCCCCGGCTGATTAAGAGGGGTGGTGGGGCCAGCCTGGCTGCCCAAACCCCCTTCCAACCCCCACCGTGGGGCCTCTGCGCTGGGAGCTGCATTTTTGCGGAGAAAAGGCTGAGCTGAAAGTGGCTTTTCTTTTGCAGGGTGAATGGGGAGCGCGGGGCTGACCTGCCCGCCGCTGTTTGCCGCCCTGTCGCTCACATTCGGGCTCTGTGGAGGTGTTTGCCGGCACAGGGGGATGGCTGTGGCTGGGATGTGAGCAGAGGAGGAAGAGGAAGGAGGTAAAGTAGCCCCTGAGCCGGTGTCAGGGTTGGTTTGTGCACACTCAGTCCAGCCTGTGTGGCAGGGGCTGCTCAGGGTGCCTGCTGGCAATGGCTTGGGCATCACTGGCAGCAAAAACAGGGGTTTGCCCACTCTTTGTGCCACCAGGGTCTGAGGTCACATCACCCTTACGTGCTGTGGGTTTGCTTCCCCTGGGGTTTGTTCTGGGGGGTTGAACAGCCCTTGCACACACAGGGTGTGATGGATGTACCTGGGTACTGGGGGAGAGGCCTGGGGCCCGGCTCAGGGGGATGTGTTTGTTTGCCCGCTGGCCTTGGTGGAATGTTCACTCTGACACCTGGGGAAAGGGGAGCCTGGGCAGGAAGGCAGCACTGATGAAAGGAATAGGAAAAAGGGTTGGCCTGGAATTCCTGGTTTTCCCACTGCCTGAGGGTTTTGTGGCTGCTGGTGAAGCCCTTAGTGAACGCATCACGGGGAAAACACCCCCTCCAAGTGTTACTATCACCATTTTCTCCTTCCAGAGAAAAATCTCTCTCAACCTGTGTCTATAAACACTCTCCCGGTGAGTGGGAGCGGGCTGGACCGGCCCTTCCCGGCGTTGTTTCCTCCACGCCCACCACTGATTGTCTCCTTTTTTATCTCCTTTTTTACCCCGTCCTGCCACTCTGCCTGTGCGTGCAGCAATTATGCAAAGTTGCAATCAAGGAGCTGAATTAGGAGCTCATCTTGGATTAATTAGTGATGGATGCAAATCTGTTCCAACAAAGAGGAGCGAGGGGAGTGCAAAGGCCATGGGTACCCTCCCAGGGTTTCTCCAGCTCTCCCAGGCTCGTTTGAGGGCAGGAGGGACGCAGAGTAATGCCTTGCAGGAGAATTGGGGCATCCACGTGAAAGAATTTGGTTCTTGGCCTTGGGACAAGGTTTGGGTGCCCCAAAGCTGATGCTCATCTCAGCCCCTGCATCTCACTGAAGGTTTTAAACCCAGAGCTTTGGGCTTAGAGCATCTCCTCCCACCCCAGCCTCGCTGCAAATCTTGGGGAAAAACCAGTTAATCCCCATGGCCTCCAGTGCTGAGCTCCTGCCAGCGCTGGGGATTTCTGTTCGCCTGCAATCGGATTGTGACAAACCCCTCCACTTGCATTGAACAAATTCCCTGGCTACTCCCCGCTCCTTGCAGGCCCCAGTAATCCCCTGAGTGTGACTCTGGCCAAGAGGCAGCATCCCTGATTAATCCCTGGTGTCTCCGTGCAAAGCCGCTGCTGCCGAGGATGCTCCTGGGGCTGGCACGGCACGCTCGGCCGCGCTGGGAGCAGACCCCAGGAAGGATGCAAAGGATGCAAGGCTGTGTAAAGGAGCTTTTCCAAGAGGGGATTGTAGCCTCGAGAGCAGCCTCTTCTTCCCCTGAAGTGGAGAAGATGGATGTGCAGGGCTCCTGGGAGCACTGAGCCAGCAGGGTGGGAAGGGGGGTGCAGATGTTTAATTTCTTTTCCTGCCCCCCCCCTCAGTGTCACCCACCCCAGCTGGTGCAGAGGGGACACCCCTGGGCACAGAATAACCAGGGCAGCCACTGGGCAGAATAACCACGGCTTGGTTAAGGAGCTCCTGGCTCGTGGCTGTGCCCACAGGGATGGGGACAGTAGGGACAGCCCATTCCCATGGTCCCCAGGAGTTTAAAACCTTGGCTTGAGGCTTTTGGTGTGCAGACAACTGAAAGGTCTCTCCTTCCTCTCCCCTCTGCAACAGCAATGATTAATAAAACCTGACTCGGCTGGAAGGGCAAGGAGAAAAACAACAATACAGGACATTTCTGGAGATGGTCCTAATCCAGCATCTCGGAGCCAAATGAATCAGCAGCTTCTTATTCTGCCGGCAGGATCAGTCAATGTTCACCCAGGCTCCTGGGAAGTGAGGTGAGGCTCTGTATAGCAAGGAGAGAGGTGGCCACAGGGTGTTGGCTGGTTCATGGAGCCAAGCAAATCCCTCCTTGTAATCCTGCAAACACTGCTGGGATGCACCCACTGGTGCTGGGAGCCATGGGGCAGCAGGGAGAGGCAGGAGAAGGGGAGAACAGAAAAATACCTCTAAAAATCTGCAGTGTGGGTGAAGGATGAGGCTGTTGGATGTGGGGGAAAGGCTCAAGGCTGGGGCTGTGTGTAAGGGATACCCCTCATGCCACAGGGACCAGCATGCCTGGGACCAGGAGCACCATGCCTGGCTGTTAAAGTGGGTCAAGCAGAAACCCAAGGAGCATCTGAGCTCACCAACCTTGAGCCAACTATGTGGAAGCTGAATAATTCAGGGCCAGCTTAAAAAATTGAAGAGCCCAGCAAAACTCCAGGAGAGCGCAGCCCATGGGACCCCCCCTACCCTTGTCAGGCAGAGGCAGCTCAGCCTGCCCATGCTCAGGGGGCACCTTAGGCATTTTAGGAGGGGGGACAGCGTTGTTTGTGCCTAACACTGCGCTTGGGAATGGGGAGAGCAGAGAGAAAGCACCCAGCAAAGTTCACCCTGGTGGATTCATCTGCCTGTGTTCCCTGCAGAGCTCCAAGCTGTAGCAGTTTCCTTGGGTGTCCCAGCATGGCTCTGTCACTCCTACAGCAGGAGCAGTTGGAAGGGAACCCCCTTGTCCCCTGAAATTGGGATCTCTTGATTGTGTGGTTTTAGAGAGGAGGCTAAAACTTGATTTTTGCCACCAGGCGTTTGGTTGCAGCATCTCCCCCTGGCTTGGAGAACACCACATCCTCTTGGGAGCTGAGGTCCCCCTCTCAGCTTGGTCATCTCTGAAGGACCACCCCTGCTTCTGTTCCTGAGGCTTGGGAATGGGGAGAACCAGCTCCTGGGGGGAATCCCTGTGGTGAGTAATGCTGCCTGGCGAGCGCTGGGAAAGGCGGGTGCCCATATGCTGCAGCTCATTCTGCTCTTTTCTGGAGCACTCTCCCTGTCTGGGTGCCAACCAGCAGCACACACACGCACAGGGAACCCCACCACGCTCACCCCCCAGTGGGTTTTTATATTTCTAAGGTTCCCTGAAGAGGGTGATGGAGTCTGGTGTAGAGCAAGGGGGTGTACCCCAAGGGGAGTGAGGTGCTTTGAGATTTTACAGTGACGCTATGAAATTAGAGCTGAACAAATGTGCCAAAGCAAAGAGCCCAAAAAATCCCTGTTTGCACCAGAGGGCTGAGCTGTGCAGGTGCTCAGCTCAGAGGGGAGCAAGGAAGGCTGAGCCCCAGCTCCAGGCCGTGCTTGGCACAGCAGTCAGTTTGAGCCAAACTCCGGCTATTTCGGCCAAGGAGAAAAGATGGAAATTTCCACCTGGCCTGTTTTCTTCCCTGTGATGGATTTGCAGGAGCCCCTTTCCCCAGCCCCGCTCCCGGCAGCAGGAGGTGGTGCAGGCGGCTGTGTCTCTCATTTCCTCTGGCGGCAGCAGCAGCAGCAGCAGCGCATCCCCGGCCCCACACGCTGATTTACACAGCGCAGCAGCGTTTATTGACTGCGAGGGGATTGTTATTCACAGCCCGGCGCGGCGCAGCCAGGCCTGGGGCAGGGATGGTTCCTCCTCTCCTTCCCGCTGCCTCCATCCTCACACACTCCGGGGGCAGAGCCCAAGGATGGTCCCGCAGGGCTCTCACCCCGCTCGCTGCCTCTGTGCCTTGCTGCTCCTGGAGAAAAGCACCAGATCCCCGTGATGGAGCCTGCAGCCTGGGCCAGCTCACCCAGCCCAGGAGGGGTGGGGACACCCACGAGGTCCCTGCCTGGGTCACCCACCCTGGGGACACGTGTCTTCTCCCTGGACAGTATCCACACTGCCCCATGTTGCTGGCTCCCTTCCTCCTCTGCTTTCATTCCCTGGTTTTGGAAGGGAGCAGAGACTCTCTTGGCTGTTTCCTCAAAAAAGCTGAGGGATTGCTGTGTTCTGTTAACCAGAGCTGCCATCCGTCCATCCGTCCCTCCATCCCTCCATCCATCCCGCCGTTTGTCCATCCATCCATCCAGATTCCATCAGCCCCTCTTAGACAAAACCCTGCACAGGGCACGAATGACCCTCTCCCTGAAAAGCTCATGCCCTGAACTAAATTACCGGGGCTTTCTTCCTAATTAATCCCTCTTGGCAATTAGCTCCGGACCTCCGCGGTCCCTCCAAGGCGCCTCTAGCCGGTACCTGCAGGCGGCACCTACAGGCGGTGCCCATGGCCGGGGGTGAGCACCGGGAAAGCCTCTCCGGGGCCGGGGGGGCTCGGGGGAGGAGCGGGGGGCGGGCGGGAGGCAGGGCCGGGGGGAGGCAGGGCCGGGGGGAGGCAGAGCCGGGGCCGCCCCCGCTCCGCGCCGCCGCCGCCGCCGCCGCACTCGGTGCCGGCCCCCTCCCGGCGGAGGCTCCGCTATGGCGGGGCCGGGGCCCGGCGGCCGCCGGGGCTGAGCGGGGCGGGCCAGCGCCGGTGCCGCAGAGCCGCCGCGGCGGACAGAGGTAAGAACCGACCTGTTGTGCTCGGCCGGGACCGCCGGGCAGCGGGGGACAAGGAGGGGAAGCGGCCGCTCCGAGCCCCTGCCCGCCCTGGCCCCGCCGAGCATCCCCCGGGCGCGGCCGGGAGCTTCTCCTTCACACCGGGGACGTGGGTCACTGAATTCCCCCCGTTTGTGGCAACTTCGCCGCTGGCAAGATGTCGGGGGACCCTTTTGGCTGAGCAAAAAGCGCTTTTGTGCCCTGACAGGAGGGCTGCGGTGCTCGAGGGTCACGCGGAGCCGGGGGGCAGCGGGGCAAGGGCTCCTCTCGGGTGAGACCTCCCACCCCTGCCCGCGATGGAGAAACGCTCCCACCCCCACGCTGGGGCCACAGGGGCGGCGGGGTGTAAATCCGTAGGGGCAGACGGATGTAAATCCAGCGGGAGGAGAAAATCCAATTTACGGCAGCGCAGGGATGCTCGGGGGAGCGAGGCGGAGAGCGCCGGAGGCTGGTCCAGCGCCGCGGCCGTGCAGCGCACCCCGCATCCCGCACCTTGCATCCCGCACCCCGCATCCCGCACCCCGCACCCCGCATCCCGCTCCCCGCATCCCGCACCTTGCATCCCGCACCCCGCACCCCGCATCCCGCTCCCTGCATCCCGCACCCCGCATCCCGCACCCGGCACCCCGCACCCCGCATCCCGCACCCCCGCATCCGGCACCCCGCATCCCGCATCCCGCACCCCGCATCCCGCACCCCCGCATCCTGCATTCCGCACCCCGCATCCCGCACCCCGCATCCCGCTCCGCTCCCGGCCCCGGCAAGTTTGGGCCACACACAGTACGTACGAGGTTCCTCCAGCTGGTTTCTTCTCCAGCTGGGATTTCTGCTATGGAAAAACCCTGCAACAGGCTCTCCGGCATCCCGGGAGATGCTTCCCACTGGGTTTTATTGCCTGGGGCGGCAGCAGGCGCAGGAGGGTGCGGGTGAAGGGGATTGCAGGCAGCTCCCCTGGGAGGAGCAGGGTGGAGCGGTGCCCCCACGACAATGGGCCCTGCTGGGCTGCTCTGCTCTGGGATGGGGGTGTTGGGGTGAACCCAGCATGGGGAGGGAGGGAGGGGGACCCCATCCCAGCCCCCCAGCAGCGCTGTGACCTCAGCACCGCCTCGGGGCTGGGGCAGTGCTGCCCTGTGCACCCACCCCTGCACAAGAGAAACATCTTAGGCTCCAGCAACTCACTCTCAGGGTCTGTGGGCACCATGTTTGTCCCCTCCTCAGGGCCCTCCATCATATGCTGGCAGCTGGAAAACCTCTCTGCTCCTGCAAACGCCATGTCTGGCAGGGAGACCAAAGAAATCACTGTCATTGATTTTTCCTCCCTTGCCTGACTCAACCTGCTGCCTTGGAGGAGATTTTTTCACGACCACCACCCCTGGATGCCAGGGAGATCTGCAGGAGGTGGGCTGGGGACAGACAAGGAATTCAGAGCAGCCCCCTGGGGTTGAACCACAGGGATGAACCCTGTTTTGGATGGCTCTGGTGGGGTCACTGGAGGGTGTTGAGCATTTGGAAAGCTCATTTTGGGATGTATTTGGTGCAGCCCCTCAGGTGTGATGCTGGGGTCTCTCTGGCAGGTCCGTGCTGGTTCTGATCTCCCAGAAAAGCAGATCTGAAAAAAGCAGAGTCAAATCCCATCCTCTCTCTGAAAGCTGCAGGAGTGTGTCTGCCCGGGCCAGCAGCTCTGCCCCAGCCCCAGGCACCAGAGATGCTGAAAAGGGCAAAAAGCAGAGCAAATGTGCAGCCTGCAGGGAGCCAGGGCTCCCCGAGGCAGCCGGGACCTTCCCCGCAGCCGCCTTCCCTGGGTGGATTCCATCCATTAATTTCCCTAATTGCTTCTGGAAATCACAGTGGCATTTGTCTTTGGTAGCATCCCAGGGAGGTGCTGAGCCCGGCTGTGCCTCGGGGGTGGCTCCTGGGGGTCCCCCACGAGCACCCCAAAGCCAAACTTCTGCTCAGAACCTCGGTGATCCCATTTGCCCGGGGGGAATCATCTTTCCAGGTGGAAAAAACCCATCAGAACTGCGAGGCGGAGAAGGCTCAGGGCCAGCCGCGTGTCATTGTCCCTTGCAGACCCCTGGCACCACCCGGGGGCATCTGTGCACCCTGGGGTGTCCCTGTCACTGCTGTCCCTCCTCTCAGGTGGCCGGGATGGGCTCGGTGGGCGCCGAGCGCTTCAAGGAGCTGAGCCCAGCAGTGACACCCGAGGGGAACGTGGTGATGAGCTTCAGCTTCGACAGCTACCAGCTGGAGGAGGACGAGCTGCAGCGGGGCAGCCAGGCCAAGGGTGTCCTCACCTTCATGGAGCCAGGTGAGGCAGGCACGGCCCAACCTGACCCACAGCCAGGTTCCCTGCTGGTTTCCCACCCCCTTAGGAGCTTCCTGGGATGGGTTTAATAGCCACAAATAGCCTGAAATGCCACAATATTGCCCACTACCCTTTTTCATCCCTTTTTGTACCCGTGTGAGCCACCTGCACATCCCGTGACAGTGGGATCTGCAGGCTGGTAAGGAGTTGAGGATTGGTGCCCTGGTTGTCCTGCCAGGCTCACCCCGAGCCTGCAGCTTCATCTTTCTCCATGCATGACTCAGGGGCACTCCTGGGATTCACCCCAGCCCTGCTCCACATCCTGAGGCAGCCCTGTCCACCTCCACAGCCACCTCTGACCCTTCCTGCACCTTGACTTGTGCTGTTACCTGCACTGCTTTGGCTCTCAGCTTGTTTAGCTGCAATTAAAACCCACCAGACCTCCAAAACTCAGATGTTTTCCTGCCTCCTGGGTCTCCACTGAAATGTCTTTATTTAGGGAAGGAACTTCTCAGAGCTGGGGCTGTTTATTTGTACATCTACAGGGAGCTGAGCTGTTTCATTGCCTCAAGGCTGAGGTCTCATGTGGGTCCCAGGGGTGCAGCAGTGCCACTGTCACATCTTTTTCTCTTTCTTTCCTCTTCTGGGGCAGTTTCTGAGGACCCTGAGCCCCAGGATCGATACCATGGGATTTATTTTGCCATGCTGCTGGCTGGGGTGGGATTTCTCCTGCCTTACAACAGCTTTATCACTGATGTGGATTACCTGCACCATAAATACCCAGGTAGGTCTGGAGCAGCTCCAGCACTTCCCTGACACCCCAAACCTGGAGAGAGCTCAATCCCACTTCCAAGGGAGCTGAACTCCTGTCCCCCCTTCACCTGCTTCTCTCCAGGGACCTCCATTGTCTTTGACATGAGCCTCACCTACATCCTGGTGGCCTTGGTGGCCGTCATCCTCAACAACGCGCTGGTGGAGCTGCTGAGCTTGCACACCCGGATCTCCGTGGGTGAGTGGGGTCCCTGCAGCCCCAGGCAGTGCTGTGCCCGTGCTGTGCCCCTGCCACCAGCTCTGTCTCCTCCCCACAGGCTACCTCTTCGCCCTGGGGCCCCTGCTCTTCGTCAGCATCTGCGACGTGTGGCTGGAGCTGTTCAGCCGCAGACAAGCCTATGCCATCAACCTGGTGGCTGTCGGGGTGGTGGCCTTTGGCTGCACAGGTATGTGGCAGAGCAGCTGGGATGGGACATGGCAGGGAAGGGAGGGAAACAGCCCCATCCCTGAGCTCTCCTGGGAAAACCTCCTGCTCTGCTCCCTGTAAACCTCAGGTCCCTGCCCCATCCCATCCACCTCTGTCCAGGCATTGTGGGACTGGCCAGGGGCACCAGCACCAAACTGTGTATTGCTCACTGACACCACTGATCTGGGCCCCCACACCTGGTGGCCACTCTGGGTGGGAACAAACACAGTGGAGCATCCAGGGAGGGAAAAGAGGCCCTCCTGCTTTTGGAGCAAGGAGGCTGCTGGAAGGAGCAGCTCCCAGCTGGCACAGCTCATGGGTTCCCTCTGTGGTTTCTTCCCCCTTCCCGGAGTTTCAGCTGCAGCAATAATCCCTCCTTCTCCCCTCTGTGCCTCTCTCCTGAAGTGCAGCAATCCAGCTTCTACGGCTACACGGGGCTGCTGCCCAAGCGCTACACGCAGGGAGTGATGACGGGTGAGAGTAAGTACCCACAGCCACTGACCATGTCCACAGCCCACCACGGGGACTTGCACCTTCTCCTGGGGCCCCAGTGAGCCACACCTGGGTCCCCACTGGCCCCAGCACAGCCAGCAGATCAGGGATACCCCAGGGTGCTCCCCAGCAAACCAGGGAGGTTACTGCTTTCTAAGTCCCTGCACTGCCATGCCAGGCTGGGGGTGGGGATGCCAGCCACGAGCTTTATCACCCCAAAGTCACTGCTGGTGACTCCTCTATATGGGGAAGCATCCCATCCACACGGTGTGGGGTGATGAGGATCCCTGAGCTGGGATTCAGAGGGGCCCAGCACTGACAGCTCCCCCACGCCACCCAGGCACCGCCGGGGTCATCATCTCGCTCAGCCGCATCTTCACCAAGCTGCTGCTGTCGGATGAGAAGGAGAACACCGTCATCTTCTTCTTCATCTCCATCGGCATGGAGCTGACGTGCTTCATCCTGCACCTGCTGGTGAAGCGCACGCGCTTCGTGCGTTACTACACCGACAGCTCCCGCCAGGGCCTCCCCGAGAGCCGCGGGGCCGGCGAGCCCAGCTCCGGCTACCGCGTCCACCACGACGTCACCTCCGAGGATGTCAGATTTGTAAGCCAAGCGTGGGTTTCCCTGCTGTCCCCCGGCATTCTTGGCCACTGTGTCTCAGCGCTGCTGTCCTCTCTTCCCTCGTGCAGGAAAACCGGGAGCAGGGACAGCCGAGCTCCCCGCAGGGCAGCCCCGGCCCCGAAGCTGAGCTGGCTGGGAGTGGCACCTACATGCGCTTTGATGTGCCTCGGCCCAAGATCAAGAGGAGCTGGCCCAGCTTCCGAGGTGAGTGGTGGGCTCGGGGGAAAGCCATGCCGGTGGGGTGGGATAAGTGATTGGTGACCCAGTGTTATGGGGGAGGATCATCCCCAGGGCTGGAGAGGGACTTTTGAAAAGGGTATGGAAGAACAGGACAAAGGGAAACGGTTTCAAACTGACAAGAGGACAGGATTAGATGGGATATTATCCAGAAATTCTCTATGAGGGTGGGAAGGCCCTGACACATGCTGCCCAGAGAAGCTGTCCAACTGAAAGTGTCCAAGGCCAGGTTGGATGGGGCTTGCAGCCACCTGGGATAGTGGAAGGTGTCCCTGTCCATGGCAGGGGGCTGGAACTAGATGGTCTTTCACAGTCCCTTCCATCCCAATCCATTCTATGATTCTATGATCCCTTTCCTAACTATGTGCCCATAACCATGGGGCAAACTCATCTCTGGAAGGCATCCCTGGGGGTCAGACAAAGCTCTCAGGCTCTGCAAGGGGGCTGGGCTGCAGTTTTGGCTGAGCTGTGCTGCCTATCCCTGCCAGACATGCTGCTCTACCGCTACGTCGTGTCCCGCCTCATCTGGGCCTACATGCTCTCCATCGCCATGACCTACTTCATCACACTGTGCCTCTTTCCCGGGCTGGAGTCGGAGATCCACAACTGCACGCTGGGGGAATGGCTCCCCATCCTCATCATGGCCATCTTCAACCTCTCTGACTTCGTCGGCAAGGTAGGAGAGAGGCCAGAGCCAGCACAGGGGGGGTCTGTCCTCCTTTGGTGCCCTCTTTCTAAGCCATTTGCCTCCACCAAAGGGTCATCTCCACCCACGGGGGTCTAACCAGTGTGAGGCTGGTGCTCACCAGCACGGCCAAGGTTGGGTTCCCACAGCAGTTGGTCTTTCCACCATCTCATCTCCTTGTTACCCCACTTTGGGCACAGCAGGGCCCTCCCCAGCCTCCTCATCCCCTCAGCAGAATCTCTGCCCTCACTGCAGATCCTGGCTGCCCTGCCCTACGACTGGAGAGGGACCCACCTCCTCGTCTACTCCTGCCTCCGCGTGGTCTTCATCCCCCTCTTCATCATGTGTGTCTACCCCAACGGGCAGCCCACCTTCGGCCACCCCGCCTGGCCCTGCATCTTCTCCCTCCTCATGGGCATCACCAACGGCTACTTCGGCAGCGTGCCCATGATCCTGGCCGCGGGCAAGGTCAGCCCGGAGCAGCGGGAGCTGGCAGGTAGGACTGAGCCCTCCTGGGAACCCCAGTGGTGTGGCCAGAGCACCCTGACCCCCCCTGTCCCTTCCCACAGGGAACACCATGACCGTGTCCTACATGACGGGCCTGACGCTGGGCTCGGCCGTGGCCTATTTTGCCTACAGCCTCACCAGTACCTCCCACAGCAGCTGTTTCTACACTGAAACCTCCAATGGCTCCTTTACCTCGGGCTACTGAGCCCTGGGGTGGGGCAATGGGGACAGGATGGAACCTGCTTCCCACCGTGGTCCCCAGCGCCCCACATCCCTCCTCAAGGAGGGAGCCTGGAGCCTGAAAGCCACCCCAGCATGGACAAGGACTGGTATCCTGTTGGCACAGGGCTGTGGCATTCCCAGCCAGGCACTGTGCAGGGCCACTGCTTGGGGTGACATTCCTCCCACCCCAGGGGACAGTTCTTGTTGCTTTTGGGGGTCTCCCCATCAGCAATGTGCAGCTCTCCAGGGAAGGCTGGGGATCTGCTGTTTGCGCCAAGCCATTGACAGGAGGAAGAAAATACTGCCAAATCCCAAAGGGAATAGGACCAGCACTGGGGAGGAGGGTGATGGAGGGCTGGTGAGGAAGAAGAGGAGCAAGAGAGGAAAGAATCACTCCTTCAGTCCCCCATCGCTCTGGGAAGGTGCATCTTCACTTCCAGTGATGGTGCTGCAGGTTTTCACCAGGACTGGCTTAAAATCACAGTCCCTCCCTAAATATGTGAATCATATGGATGGGGAAAAAAGATTTTTTTTTAATTGTGTCTTGTTTTACCCCCCCTAACTGCAACAGAGGCAGGGTCTTGCCTCCCCCCACCCCACACTGTGAATCTGCTCCATTGCAAGGGGTAGAGGGGGGGGTCCCAAGGCTGCAGCACTGCCTGTGCCACTGCTGAGCTTCAAGATTTATTGCACAGGATGTAAGTGAAGCTGATTAAATAATTAAATGTCTTTGCAACAATGACTGGTCCTTAGCTGTGCCACTGGCACTTGACTGCTGGTGATGGGCTAGCCTGGCAAACACACACAGGATGGTGCCTGCTGCCTGTCCTGCTGGGTTTTGGGGTGCCCTTTGTGCTGGTCTCCATCTTCAGGGCCCTCTTTGTCACCTGGGGTGGTGGAACATGTCACCGGGTTACAACAAACCCCCGCCAGCCATGGGCAGCACACAGGAGAGGGAACAGGCCAAGAGGAGCAGAAAACATCACGAGAAGGTGCCAACACCACGTTTTGGGACCAGCTGCACCTCACTGTGCCAACTGGCAGGTGCCACCTCCCAGGGAAGCCCAAGGAGCCAGCGAGTGCCAGGCCTGGCCCTGACCCGGCCCCCACAGCATGGGAGGGTCTGACTGTGCCAAGCTCCTGCCTGTATGAAGTGCAGCTCACACCAAAAAAGAGCAAATCCAGCATTTCATCCTCAGCACATGGTGCCCTGGGCACGGTGGCAGGGGGAGGATTCACACTTCCAGGCCCTGTGCAGCAGACACCTCTACTCCAGTGTCCAGTCCTGTCCATCGGTGCCACCAACTCACACAGATGGGTTCTCCCCAAAAAGCCATCATTGCCACCAAGGGGAGAAACACCCTGCGGTCAGGACAAGCGAGACAAAGAAAGATGCTTTGTTGGGTTGCTTTTTTTCAATTAGATTTTTTTTTTTTTTTATGAAAAAAGATCACACGGAGTTCTCCAACAAACAGAATGCCAAAAAAATTGTTTTAAACAAAAACATAAACAAAACAAAACAAAAAGACAAAAACCTGGCTCTCCTTTCCTCTCGATTGTCTGAAATATCCTTGTGTTCCATAGAAGGCAGTGGGTTTTAAGTGCTTTCTATTTAACATTAGCATAAAATCTCTCTCGCGCGCTCTCTCTCTCGCTCTTTAAAATATGCTCACACAATTTGCTTCTAGAAGTACAGTACACTTTGAGCGTGGGGGGTGTGCCTGTTCCCAGATCATTTACAATCACAATCCAACAGGAAATAAAAAATAATATTCTAAACGTCAGACTGTGTTCATTTCTGCCGTTGTGGGTTTTTTTCTTTTTTTGTTTTTTATAATTTCATAATTTTTTTCACAGTTTTAAAAAGTTTATATTTATATATATATATTTATATTTATATTTATAATTAAAAAGTTGAATCCATTTAAAGACTTATAATACAGGAGGGCTAAAGAGTCTTTTGGTACATTAAAACTGTACAGGCTAGAACCGTCACTGTCCGCCGTGCCGAGGCGCCGGTGGCCCGGGGTGGAGATGGTACGAGCTCAGCACCATGTGGTTTGTTTAAAGGACGAGGGGTAACTCTGTGGGGCTGTCCCTCACCCCTGAGCCCCGGCCTCCAGTCTCTGGTACGCAGCCAGGGTGGAGAGTTTCCAATGTGTCCTTGGCTTAAGCATCGCCCCTGCTCCGCGTCCCGGCGATCCGTAGTGCGAGTCGGGAGTTGCAAAGATCAGTGCGTCTCTTGGAGTTTTGTTTAAGTGCAAGGATGGTGCATTGTTCTCCTCAGGTTCTCCTCCAGTGTTCCCTCTTGCCAGGTGTAACCCTGGAGCAGCAGCGGCGTGTGCCCAAGGGGAGCTCAGCTCCTCCGTGGATGGAGGAAGCTGAAGGGTGCAGTCCCTGAGCCCAAGGTGGCAGCGGGGCTCTGGCTGTGGGAGCGCCGTGGGCAGGCACAGCTGGGTTCACACACTGCCCCCATTCCCTTCAAACCATGGGCATGGCTTCCCAGCAGCTCCACGGCTCAGCACAGGCAAGGCATGGCAGGTAAAGCTGGGTGAGGGATGCCAGAATCCAGTGGCCTCTGATCTTCTCTCCTCCAAGCACAAAGCAGCAGCTTTTCCCAGTCTTTTCCTGCTCCTTCACTGCAGCTTTTCCCAGTCTTTTCCTGCTCCTTCACTGCAGCTTTTCCCAGTCTTTTCCTGCCCCGTCACTGCAGCTTTTCCCAATCTTTTTCTGCCCCTTCACTGCATGCTCCAAGATGAGGTCTCAGTTTGCCATGTGTCACCCCCCTTGCCACCTGCTTGCTCCCTCTAGCACCTTCACAGGGCAGGGGTGCAGAGCTGCAGAGGGTTCAGTTTGTTCAAGGCAATGGGAAGGCAGCGTCCAAGACTGGATGCTGGCTCCTCTTCCACCTGGCTCCTCCCAGGCCAGAGGATTCTCTTCTGCCATCTCTGTGCTGGAGCCAGCCCTGCCCTTTTGTGCTCCACACGCTGCCAGAGGGGCCTCCAGGGAAAGGGAACAGCAAAAAGGCGCTGAGAGGATCGAGACGAGGCGCTGAGAGAGACTCATCTCCTTTCTCTTTCACCCTGTCCTTCCTATAAAGGGTCATGCGAAACTAAGCAGGAAAGGGAATATAAGGACGGAGAGGAACGCACGCAGAAGGCAAGAGGGTCCTTCCACATGCGGGCGGCTTCCGAGTTACTGATGGGGAAAAATGACACAAAAGGGATCCCTCCTGCCGGGGGGTCCCGCTGGTGAAATGATCACGAGACCCATGTGCTTTCCTGGACCAAAAGGAGGAAGGGAGAAGTTGGTCAAGTGTCACCGTACTTAAAGCCACTTCCAGAAGAGCCTCGGGGTTCAAGCACCACCACCACCACCCCAATGGCATCTTCCTCGAGTCCTGTAACTGCTTCCCCAACCCCTTTCTTCAGCCTTCTCCTTCCTCCTCGCGTCTCTCGCGCTCTCCTGTCTGTAGTGTGACACAGAAATGAGCATTGAAAGAAACAATCATGTCGTCTGAACAGGCACGTCCTCAGGTTTGTCCCATCCCTTCCCAGGGGGTGGCATGTGTCCCCTGGGCGGTCAGCAGATGACAGGGACCCCGTCAGTGTTGAAGATCATGCCCGTGGTGGGCTCGTAGGTCCCTGCAAGGTAGTAGAGGTCCTCACTGTCTTGGTATTTCTTTGTCTTTAGCATCTGCTCATATTGATCCAGACCAACAACAAGACACTTGTGTGAGATGGTCTGGACATCATTTTCATCCACATGAGAGGACTGGTAGAGGGCTCTCTGCACAAGAGGAAGAGAAGGAAGGAGGTGGGGAAAAAAGGAGCCATTAGATCACACAGCATTTACAGCATCATCTTCAGTAAGTAGGAAAAACACTCATCATAATGCTCCCTGTTCTTCCCCACACCCAGCACCTGCAGCTACTCCACGCTCCCAGAAATATCCATCCCAAGTCCTGGGCACTGCAGACTTGGCAGCCAAGGCAAAAATCAAGAGCCAGAGAAGTTTGGGGGGCATTTCCAGTATTTATTTGTTACAGGGTACCCAGCATTTCCTCCCAGCCTTCTCCCAGTCTCACCAACCTCCATAAAGTCCTTCCTCTGGTTGGATGCCTGCAAAGCTGTGGCCAGACTCCTGCCTGATTTCTGATCCCAGCGCTGTGCACAAGAAGAAAAGAAGAAACAGAAATGAAAACCTGGTGAATTTGCTGTCTTTCCATGCCACCATCTCCTGCCCACCACATGTGCTTTTGGACCTTCAACCCCTGCCCATTGCCACAAGGAATAAATCCTGCTGTAAACCAGCTGCACATGTGCAAAATTCACTGTTTCTGAGCACCAAGCCCATCCTCTTTACACTTTAAGGACTTGATCTGGCTCTTTACACTTCTTTTGGACCCACACAAAAGTCTTTATTTCCTAATACAAAGAAACCCACCCCTCCCTTCTTCAAGGGGCCAATGCTGGGCTTGCCCACACCACAGGCAGCCCCCACAAGATGGAAGAATGGGGGGTACCAGTAAAAAACTGGGCTTTGGGTGTTTTCCTCCTCGTTGGAAACAAAAGGCAGCAAGGAGCCTTGCAGCCCTCTCAGCAAAGGAGACCAGCCTACCTTGCCTTCATTGAGTTTCTTCCCAGGGTTGGTTTCTTCTGGATGATAAAACCATTTGACTCGGACCACCATATTGTTGCCCCAGGATTCCCACATGCTCTGGATCCGGCCAATGTAGGGCAGGTTGGGGCGGCCGGCGGAGAGGAAAACGGCGCAGTCTCCGATGCGGATGATCTCCTTGCCCCGCACGATGGCCTTGTAGAACAGCTTCCTGGCCTTCCCTTTCATTCCTCGTCTCTGCCAAGAGAGGACATGCAAGTGGTCAGCCAGGGATCACCCACATTTTCCCTGCACACCACTGTTTGCCCTGTTTGTGCTGCATGCATCCCTTTTCTGTTGGCAGTATTCCCACAGGAACTGGGGCAGAGGGATGCACCACGCAGAATGGCTTCCTCAACACAGTGAAAGCCAACCCCTATCTCCCTGCACACACCACACCAGCAGTTCCACCACCCCAGGAAAAGGGAAGAAGCACCAGAAGGCAAAACCAGTGCTGAGTGCCGAGCACTACAGAGCATTTACCTGCGTGGGTTTCCCAAACCACTTCCACAGCTGCCGTGCCGGGAGGAAAGCAGCGATCTTGGGCCTGTTCTCCACGGAGGGCAGGCGCTGGCGCTTGGCCAGCTCCTTGGTGGTGGGCAGGTGGATGCCCTCGCGCTTCTTGGGCCGGCTCTTGTTGCCGCCCTGCGGCGCTGCCGGCTGCTGCTGAGGCTGCTGCTGAGGCTGCTGCTGAGGCTGCTTCTGGCTCTGCGGGTGGGAGGATGCCCGGGATTTCCCTGCCTGCTTGGTTTGCTTGGGTGGGAGGGTTTGCTGCACCGAGGAACTCGGCTGGGCCTCAGCTACTTCGTCGTCAGAGCTACAGGAGGAATCTTCATCCGTAGTGGAGGAGGAAGAAGAGCTGGAGCTTGATGAAGAAGAGGTTGATGAGGTGGAGGAAGAGGAGGAAGATGAAGATGAAGAGGAGCTGCTGCTAGAAGAGGAAGAAGAGGAAGAGTTGGAGGAAGAGAGAGGGGTGGATGCTCTTGAGCTGGCTGAGCTGCTGTCCTGGGCTTCCCCTTGGTTCTTCTCAGCCTCTTCTTCTCCCTCTGACTCCGAGCTACTGTCACTGCTGTTGCTCTCAGACTCCTCCACACCTGCTGGAGCTGCTGCCTTTTCTTCCTGGTCCTTTGAGGCAGCAAGGCCCTCTGCTGAGGCATCAAACTTTCCCCCAAAGCTGGCAGGGGAAGGGTCTCCCTCAGCCACCTTGGCTCGGGAAGATTTCTGCTTGCCCTCCACACTCACTGCAGCAGAATAGCCCAGCCCCAAGAGACTCTTCCCATCTCTGCGACTGGCCAGGTTCGAGTCCTCCAGCATCCTCATCGCCTCCTTCATCTTCTTTGTCTTTGGAGACATCACACCCTCATGGTCCAGCTTGATCAGGATTTCATTGTCATGCTTCCTCTGAGCCTTGACCATGGTGCCAAACTCTTGTGTCTCTTCTGTGGGCCGTCCTTTCTTGGCCTTGGCTTTGGACACTGAAGCCTCGCTGGAGCCAAAGGCCGCCAGCGTTCCCGGGAGATCACTGTAGGGCTCCGTGCCCAGGATGCTGCCAAACACAGCAGGCTGGTAAGAGGGTTGGGGGGGGCTGTGCAGCTTCGTGGAGATCTTCATTTTGCTGGCTTTTGAGCGCTTTTCCTCTGTGGGAGCAGGAGAGCCTCCAGTCGGCAGCGGTTGCGATTTTCGTGAGCCCTTCATGCTTGGCTTGCTCAAGCAGGCCGGCTTCTCTGGGACTGAGGAGGTAACAGGTGAAGACTCCACCTGGTCCTTCTCTTCAGGCAAGGCAGCCTCTTCTGCAGAGGGGAAGAAACACAAAGACATGATGTTATCCCTCCAGATGGGCTTTATTAGCTCAGACACAACCAGACACCAGTGTTGACTGGTCTCTGGCCAAGCATGGCTTGTTCCTGCCTGCTCAGGTACCCCCAAAGGAGCACAGGGGGTGTCCTCACTGCTCACTGAACAGCCTGGCCTGGTGCCAGTACTTGTGAGAAGTGATAGACAATGCCCAGGGGTGCTGCTTCAACTTCAGGAGAACCAAACTACAAATCTCCTGTACCTCTGGCTCTATGGACAGCTGCAGAGATGAAAAAAGGACTCTATGCTCCACATCCCTGACTGACAGAAG